CAATAAGCACAAGCCAGTTTTATACATTAGTGGGATCTAGCTTTAAAACTGCTGGATTAGGGAATGTGAGATAGTGACTGATTAATCTCCAAATCTGAATTTTAAATTTGTTGGTGCTTGAGCAGAACCGGTGACTTGCTTGTGATCAACGGACTACGGCAAAGGTAATGGGAAGCCCCCCACCTTGATTACATTATGTTGTATAATACTCTGTGTTTTGCTAGCAGACTCACTCTAGGGTGTCCTCCTCCATTTCTGGCTTCAAAGAAGCAAGTGTCCAAGGGTCCTACACAACCACAAGAAGATGAATTCTGCAAACAACCAAAGAGAACTTAGAAGTGGATTCTCTGGGGTTTCCCTGGTGGCACAGTGGTTGGGAGTCCGCCTGCCGATGCAGGGGACGCGGGTTCGTGCCCCGGTCTGGGAGGATCCCACATGCCGTGGAGCGGCTGGGCCGGTGGGCCGTGGTCGCTGGGCCTGCGCGTCCGGGGCCTGTGCTCCGCAGCGGGAGAGGCCACAACAGTGAGAGGCCCGCGTACTGCCAAAAAAAAAAAAAAAAAGAAGTGGATTCTTGGGACTTCCCTGGTGGTGTGGTGGTTAAGAATCTGCCTGCCAATGCAGAGGACATGGGTTTGATCCCTGGTCCGGAAAGATCCCACATGCCGCAGAGCAACTAAGCCTGTGCGCCACAACTACTGAGCCTGCACTCTAGAGCCCGTGAGCCACAACTACTGAAGCCTGTGTGCCTAGAGCCTGTGCTCTGCAACAAGAGAACCCACCACAATGAGAAGCCTGTGCATCACAATGAAGAGTAGCCCCCGTTCTCTGCAACTAAAGCCCACGCACAGCAACGAACACCCAACGCAGCCAAAAATAAATTAAAAAAAAAAAAAAAAAAAAAAGAAGTGGATTCTTCCCCAGTCAAGCCTCCAGATGATACCCCAGGCCCAGCTGACACCTTGAATGGTAGCCTTACAGAGAGGACCCAGTAAAACCATGCCTGGACTCCTGACCCACAGAAACTGCGAGATAATATATGCATGCTGTTTTGTGCTGTTAATTTGTTACTAAAGCAGTGAAAAGAAGATACAGATTTTGGTTCTAGAAATAGGGCACTGCTGTCACAAACACCCAAGTATGTGGGAGTGGTTTGGAAAAATTCTGAGGAGCATAATAGAAGGAAAAGAAAGCTGAAAATGTGTAACTCCCTTGATAATGTAGAATTTTATAAAAATGAATGGGACTTCCCTGGTGGCACAGTGGTTAAGAATCCACCTGCCAATGCAAGGGACACGGGTTTCAGCCCTGGTCCAGGAAGATCTCACATGCCATGGAGCAACTAAGCCCGTGCGCCACAATTACTGAGCCTGCGCTCTAGAGCCCGTGAGCCACAAATACTGAGCCCACATGCCACAACTACTGAAGCTCACATGCCTAGAGCCCATGCTCTGCAACAAGAGAAGCCACCCCAATGAGAAGCCTGCGCACCACAACGAAGAGTAGCCCCTGCTCGCCACAACTAGAGAAAGCCCACGTGTGGTAACGAAGAGCCAACGCAGCCAAAAATAAATAAATAAAAAGAAATAAATTTTTTAAAAAATTGTAAAAAAAAAAAAAAAAAAAACCCAAGAAAGAATGAGCCCTCACTGCTGAGGACAGAGAAACCTGAAAACACTAGGTTTGGTAAACACGGCAAACATGGACAGCATGGTGACTATAATTAATAATAGAAATAAATATATAGTATTATATATTTAAAACTTGCTGAGAGTAAACCTTAGAAGTTCTCATCACAAGAAAAAAAACTGTGACTATGTATGGTGACCGTGGTACCCAGCTTTATTGTGGTGATCATTTCAGAATATATACACAATATCAAATCATTATGTTGTACCGAGAAAATAATATATGTCAATTATACCTCAATAAAAATTTTAGAAAAAAAGAAGAGTGAACTCTCTGGACACAAAGTAAGCATATCAGATGCAGGCATATCAATAAAGGGTTAATTTTCATATCAAGAAAGTGTTAATTTTTCTCAACACGTTTCTTTGGATTGGCTTTAAACACAATGAAAATGATGCTTCAGTTCCTAAAATGAATGCTTAGTACTGACAGCAAGGACAAACTTAGAACTCCTTCAGAGATAAATGATAAGACTGACTCCCCTCAGTAAAACTAAGCTCTGTGGTCAAATCTAGTAATTTTCTGAGGAAGAATATAACATTTTTTTTTAGAGATTTTGAAAAGTCCAGAAGTGAGGTAAGAAATGCCAGCGACTGCATTTAGGCGTTAGGTGGGCGGTTGGTAACAGAAAGGCTGATTCTTAGTCCCCGGCATGCGAGCAGCTGGATGTCAATGAGCTGCAGGAACACTCACCGCCCTGCAGACCCAGCTGCTAACCTGCTCGTCTCTGGAGAGGATGTGAGGCAGAGGTGTCCCTCTGGTAATTAAAAACCCCCAGAAGCACTGGGATTAGAGCACAGCCTGTCTTCTAAAAGAAAAACGAAAACTTTGAAAATGAGATTCTGTGATACTAGTTGTACTTTTCAAGGCCTGCACAGGCAACCAACCATTTATCTACACGTATTTTGTTCCCCATCTGTCTACACTTTTTATCCTGGAAAAAGACAGGCTTTCTCTACCCTGAAGATGAATGAGGCCTTTGATGTCATGCAAATGTTAGCTCTGGGCCAGACACGCACAATCCTGAAAGTAGTACACTTAGAGAATAAGAGGTTTAAATGCATTTACCATTTTTATTTTGCTATGCGGAAACATACATTCACCATGGCTGTGCGATGCGGTTGACAGTGAAATGGAGAATATAACTTTTTGAAGGCTGTTTATAACTAAACACTAAATAGTTTTATTACAGTGGAAATTCTGTACAGTTTAAGGCTTGGCTCTGAACTAGACTGCAAATATGGACCAGATTTGGAAATAAAACACTTTTTTTCAAGTAAAAGAAGAAAAATCCATTTAAAAAAAAATACAAGGACGAAGAAATGAAGAAAGAAAACAAAGCAACAGGAGCCCAACGGGTTTTCCCGGAGTGAAATCTCATCATACGGTGAACTAACAAAAATACAGGTCTTCTTTCCAAAATAATGACAATTTACATATTTAGGACTTGTTAGGGAACTCTGGGAGGCCTTCCAGACTGAACGCAGACCGAAGCGGACGACGGGGGAGAGATCACACTGATACGCTAAAGTCAGTACTACTTTCTAACGGTTGAATCAGATGACACAAAGCAGGGTTGTGAGCGCTAAGTATTTCCAGAGGATCGGAGAGTCGTTACTGCTGACAGGTGAGAGTAATAAACCAGAGGAAGCAAGTACAAGATTCAAGTCATTTAATGAATAAACTCGGTTATTGGCACATCTAATCTGGGAAAAACCTGACACACGGGACTAGACAGCTTCTAGCAGTTTAGGGTAATCTTTGTTGATCTGTAAACAAAAGATCTGTCACCTAAGAAACTGCAATTTTGTTTAGACTTTAATAATAATCAGCTATGAAAGGCATGGATTGCTTTATGTGTTACATGAGATCACGGTTTCTATTGTTGGTTATGAACGTGCAGGTGTAGCTGAGAACTCAGACACTGTGTGAAACGTAAAAATGCTGCTTGTTTTGTAATTGTATCGTTGCTTCATGCAATGTCAGTTTAGCGAGGCTGACTCAGATTGCTTTATTATGGGAAGGTCTCTGCCAGTGTCTTTATTAAATGGTCAAGGTCAGTTCTTCTGGATTGAAATTGTCCATGGGCAGATGCAAATCAGTGGGTTAGAAGAGGAAACTCCACATAGACTCTGGGTTTTCTAATGGTTTGCGTGACTGGCTTCAGGTGCAGCCTAGGTTATTCCTGCAGAAGAGAGATTTGATCGGTTACTCGTCTGAAAACACCTGAGAGTTTCCCTCAGATCGAGGTCATGGGAGAAGTATCTTGTACGGTTATGAAATGCTCTTTTTGACAAGATACTGTAAAATACCAGTGTACGCACTGACAGGCTTTCTCTGAAATAACCACATCGTCACCCAAGTGGCTCAACTCGCTGAAGAGAACCTTCTTTTGGTTTTTTTTTTTTTTGCTTTCTATCTTCCAAATTACCTTCTTAATTTGAATATAATGAGTGATATTTATATTTTTTCCCTTTGAGAGAAGCCACTCATCAGTCAACATTAACCAACGTTAGAGAACGTACTTATTTCATTTATACATGTAAAGCATTTAAGAGACTTTTATCACATAACCAAGTGTGCAAGGAGCTGCATTCAGCATTCAAAGCCTTCCAGGGATGCTCAGGGCCCCTCGAGTTCTCGAGGGGCGGGTTAGTATGCATGACAAGTCTGTGCACACACAGAAGATGCTGTCTGCTCATGATGTTGGCCAAACAGTGGCTGGAAAGGCACGCGCTTTCTGGAGGAAAGCAGGACCACAAGACTGCATTTTTGCTTCCTCCTGAGACACGGTACTACACTCGGGAAAAAAATCATCCCAAAGAATACAGGAAATAGATGACATCCACAATGAGAGTGAGTGCTCTGGTCTCAAATTGTAAAACAAAGCAAAAACAAAAACATAAACAGGCTAGCACCAAACACGGTGGAAGAGAAAGCTTACGACGGGATAACGCAGCCAACAGAAGGAGAACAGGCTATATTTTATTTCCCTAGTATTTGGAACACGCGAATTGCACCTGTCAGAACAAAACCATCTTAGCTCTGATTAGGCTACATGGCAAGTGAAACCAGATCCGACCTTTCAAATGTGGATAATGGGAGGAGCACAGAGCATGCATTAAGAGGGAACATGCGCAGGACCAGGCAAGCGGACTCTGCTTCCTCCTTATCCTCTAACTGGCAGGGGAGGTAAAAAGTCCACAGTATGGAGCCTCCAAATATGAAAGAAAGCAGCAGCCGCAAACCAATTTTCCATCCTCTTGATACCCAGAGCCCTGCAAATGCCAGTGAGAGAAAAAGGAGAGGGAAGAGGCAGGGGGAGGGAGAGAGGGAAGCCCTGGGCCACATGCCAGCCGAGGCCAAGCCTAGAGAACCAGCGCCACCTCTTACCTGGGCTCAATCCTCTCCATCTTCAGGGGTGATCTCTGTCTCTTTATGGACCACTACTTTGGTCACTGACATGTCAGGGTGCTGCTCTTTGGCCTCTTTAATTGCCTGAGCCAGTGCCTATCCCCAGGAAATCACAGAAGGGCAAAGACAAAAAGGAGGCGGGACGTGCAAGATCAGAGCCGGGTGGAGACTCGTGAGCAAGACCTATATACACAAGTTACAAATGGGATACAATGACTGCAAAGGGGGTCATACGCTGCATACTGCAAAGTTAATTCAGAAAACTGTTTGGACTACAGGCTGGACTAGAAGGACAGCTCTGGGAAGAGTACGACCAGCTAGTGTTTCTCTGTCTCCCTGCCGGGGTATCTACCCTCTCTCACACGCTACCTGGTCATGGTCAATGTCCGCGTCTCCCGTGATGACGATTCGCTTCTCGATTCTCGTCTCTGAAATGCCTCCTTTCACAGTCTGAAAGCAACACATAAGCATTATGAATTTACCGTCACTGTTGACCGGGGGCAACGGCGGAAAATGCCGACACAGCTTTAAGCTGCATCATTCATTCTTTAAGAACTGAAACAGAATCCTATGGCAGTTATTCACAATGGTTCACTTCAGAAGTGAAGCCAGAATAGAGTCCTTCGGGTTTTGGCTGGCTGGTGTTTCCGGAACATCTACCATATGCTATGCACTGGAGTTAAGGGTTATGCAAAGGGCATCAGAATGCATATTCTTAAACGGAACCTGGCATGTGAGGACAGAGGCACCACAAATACAGCAGCCGTGAGAGCTCCAGTGCAGCTGCCTGGCATCCTGGTATTCACGTATCCGCTGGTGTGGCCCAACCCAGAAGCTCTGAACGGATACCTTCCTGTATCCGTTCCCACTCCACTTACTTTGGTGATGTGGGTGGTGGTCGTGGTGCCAGTGGTTTCAGATGTGATCGTCTGTGCGCTCATGAGCACACCTGGCTCCAAATCGGCACCAAGATCAACCTAAGCAAGCAAAGGGGAGACGCCACACTTGAATATCGATGTCACCTCTCCAGACGTCTGCTGTCCTGGGTTAGGGCATGGCGATGAGTTAATTATCTGCACAATCACTGTGCTGCTCCATCAGCATCTGGGAGCTGCCACAGACTAGGGACCGAATCAAACTTGGCCACTGTTAACCCTCATTAAAAAGCTGGGACTTCAGAAATGTGAGCAGGGGCTGGCTGAGCTAGTGTTCTTCCTTATCTATGGCTGGGGAGATAGATTTCTGAGCCTCTTTCTACACGTCAAGTTATGTGAAGACCTGCTTAAGTCACCTGCTCTTCCTTGATCGGTAATAAAATTACAATTACTGCACCGTTCTTGACAGAGACAGTTGGGTCCTCTGAGTCTCACAAATTAAATATCATGTAGTGACACTTAAATGCATGAAGCCATTCAAGGGGTAAAACAGGTGCCAGGGCTCTGGCCTTCACAGACTGTCTTACCTGTGATGATTCATATGTTATGGTTTTTGTTTCTGTGTGAACTACAGGCACTTCCTTGGTGGAAATTTCTAGCTTTACTTCTCCTGGTGAAACACTGCCAAAGCTGACGGTTTCTGTCTTCACAGTAGATGACTATAACAATGGGAAGCAGGCAGAGTGGCTATTAAATTTTGCAAACACATACCTTTGTTTTTTTCCCTCCCCTCTTGGTGGATATATATAAGCACAGGTTGGTATGAAATAAATGTTTACATTTTACGTGGAGGGCAGTTGGGGAATGAGGCACACAACAGATACATGTCAGTCTCCCAGAATGCATATGGAATGTTTCAGGTACAAGAAAATATTTCGAAGGAAATGGAAAAAACCCACTTTTTTACATTCCCTCTCCTCTATCTCATAAACTAATTTTAATAGATTAAAAAATCATAAATTAGCCTTTTATTGAAAAACTTCTTAGACAGAAGGAACAAGTAATAAGACATTGAACCACCACCCCTCACCCTGCCCCCATGTACTTCAGGAATTTCAATAAAAGAGAATAAAGAATAAATTCTAGCACTTGGTGCCTGGGCAAGCCTGGTTTTGGTCCTTCTGGATAAGTACACTGATCAGAAATAAATTTATCAAGTTTTCTAATATCTTGGCAGGCTATGCATCTCCCAGATTTATTGCCAGTTACGGTAATTGCAAAGAGAGTGGAAACCATTTCCTGGAACTTTAGATTGTGAATAATCATTATATATGTTTGCATGGGACCCCAGACCAGCATGGAGACCCCATAATTGCCATGCAAGAAGGCAACCAGAGGAGAAACAAACTGCTCTTGGAAAAGGAAGAAAATTAAACCTACCCCTGCCTTTATGCTTAACTAAATTTCAGGGACTTACTTCAGCACTAAAAGTAACATTAACCGCTAGTTACCTCAAAATGAGGTTTTTCTTCCGAAGCTTCAGAAACGTGGATGGCTGCACTCTGCTCCTCTGGCTCTTGGGAAGCAGCTGCCATCTCTCCCTGCTCGAGGACAGCTTTGTCGGCCACCTCCCCTTTTTCCTCCTTCGCTCCCTCAGTCAGAGCAGAGACCTCCTTCCCTTTCACATCAGATACATCAGCAGATGCTGCCTGGGTCACAGCATCCATGTCATCTCCAGCTGCGTAAGAAGCATCCCCACTTGCATGTGCATTCATCACCTGTCTTTCCTCCACCAATGCCGTTTCCTGCACAACCTTCTGGGTGCTAAGTGGCTGGGGGTGCTGGGTTGTTTCCGTCTCTATTTTGCCAGACTCCATCTTGGTTTCCATTTTCTGCATGGAAAAAAAGTTGTGGTGTCAGTGTGACTTTCCACAAAGCAAAGGTCAGAAAGCAAAAGAAAAAAAAAAAACAACAAAAGCAGCCACTCACCAGGGTACCTAAAGCCAGTACCAGTGCTTATAACCAGCAACGCTTAGAGAAAATATAAATTAGCTTTCATTCCCCCCACCAGAGTCTTTGATGCCTGCCCTCTGCCTGACACATAGCCTCAAACCTGTGCTGCTTCTTCGGATGTTGCAAAAGAAACGAGAGTGCAGTATAAAACGCAATTACAAAACCAAAACAAAATGAAAGCATTGGAGCACATGCATATTGGTTTTGGCTGCTTCCTTAGACCTAAGAGGTGACATAAAATGCTTTAAGAAATTAAATGCTGTTAAAACGTCTCAGCACGATTGCTTTCTGAACATCTGAAGTATGTTCTTGTAATGGAACTAAAGACATGTGATGCAAACGTGGGACAGGCGCAGAGGGGTGTGAGTGGAGACCCCTCTCAGGTGATTAAAGCAAAGCCACTTGGATGCAACACACCCCCCCCCAAAAAGGCACAAAGAAAAGGCAAAGAGGCAGAGACAGAGACACCGAGGATGGAAACAGATGGCCACCTGCACCCAGCTTTGAGAAGTGGAAGTAACCCCTCCTATGAATTCTGTCGGTTTTCTCGCAGACTCTAATAAGCTGAAGATTTCAGAGCCATCCATGAGCTTTTCTCCAGAAGACTGTTTAGTCTGAGTGAACAGAGAAATGGAGAGTCAAGCACAGAGGTCGGGACACAGGAGGGCATGTACTCATTCACAGCTGGTTAGACAGAACTGTAGGCGCGGGACCCAGGGCGAGGGATGGAGGGATCTACAGACAGATTTGGAAACACACAGGGATGGGAAATCAACAGCAAATCGGGGTGAGCAGGGGCTCTGGTTTGGTAAAGCGGAGAGAGTTCCTGGGGTTAGGGCGGTGCTGGGTGAAGCGGATCCTTTCACCCGGCACCGGCACCTCAAGCCCCGGCAGCACCACCCCACCTCGGGGACAAGAGCTGGAAATAAAACGGCAGGTATCTCAATGCTCATGTCAGACCGCGGTAGTGACTTAACCATGAAAACAACAAAAAAGCTTGGGTTGGCGGCTCTCAACATAAGCCAAACAGCAAGAGAAATGGAAAGGCTCGGGGTGGAAGGGCTGCCTTGGCAAACGTCATGCTGGAATCGGAAACGGCGGCCCAAAGGCAGCACCGGTTACCACGACTTGGGACGTGGCCGACTCTGTGACAACGTATTGGGTGGTGGCGACGGTGATGGCCGGTTCCTGGGAGTATCTCCACTGGGACAGGCTCTTCCTGCGGGGACTGAAGGGCCCCACCTTCCAGGTCTCGGCCTCGGCCTCGGCCTCGGGCTCCGCTCTGCCCAGCCGCTCGCCCTCCAGACTGGCATCCCTCCCGGGCACGTGGCTTTTCTCAAGAGCATCATCCTCGGGGCTCTGCAGCCGGGACTCGGCTTCCCTGATGGGGGCCAGCGACTCCGACAGCCTCCGCTTTGGAGTGTGGACCTCAGGCCCCCTCCTGGTCCTGTCCTCGGTGAGGACTCCCAGGACCTCGAACTCTGCCAGGACACGGGGGGTCTTCGTGAGCTCGGCTAGCCCTGGCTCAAGAGGGGAGGGGGACACCACCTTCTCCCCTTCTTTGACTTTTCCTGTCATAGTGACAATTTTTCCAGACACGGTATCGTAGGACTTTCCTAGTGTGTATATTTTCTGTTTGTTCTCTTCCTTCAAGTGCATTTCTCGGGCCAAGTCTTCAAAGCTCTGCACTTCAGTGGCGCTAGATCCTGACGAGTCGGCGGGGATGTCATCGGTTCTAGCGCTCACGGTCACCACCTTGTACGTCACAATCTTTTTCGAATCACCATCAACTACCTCAGTGGGTATTCTGTCTACAATAACCCAGTCCTCTGTGCCCTATATTTGGAATATAAAAGCTAAATTAGAAGTTCTGATGGCATCTCATTTCTAAAATAAGAATCCTTTAAGGCAATCAGGGTGAGAGCTACACTCAGGCCTGGGAGGTGACTGCACAGGGCTGGGGTTATTTTTATTAATTATGGCTACAATCTCTTCCCATCTGAAATTTATTAACTCTAACCTGCAACTTGGAATACGGTCTGCGTGTACACTCGCAATTTCAGATTTCTTGAAATACTTTGGTGGTAAATTTTGCAAAGACTATATCTGATCTTATGCTAAATGTCTGATCATTTTGTATGTCAAGATTAAACAACATTTTTGAAGCTGTTGTACAAGTTATTTAGCTTTACCTGTGTGGACATAGAAAAGACAGTTTTCCATGTGAAATAGAACACTGTGCTTCATATCTGTTGTTCTCACAAAGAACGTGCCAGCATTTCCACAAATTTCTGTGAAAACCATTTTCCATGTTTGTGAATTATACTTCCTTATATGGGAGACGGAATCCACTCTAGCACTTATTATCCAATAAGTATTCAGTGCACCTGTGTTCCAGGCATTGTAATGAACTATTTCCCACTGTTAGGACACTGTCAGAGCCTCTTAGAAACAGGTCACAGTGGTCTGTACATTGTTCCGATTTTATTTACAACCGAAGTTCATCGTCTCAGGAGTTTCTTTGCCAGTTTCCTTAGTGTTAGTTCCAATAAGGCAGAAGAAATGCAAGTTATGAAACTTCTGTATTTGGGGAGCCTACCAGGACGTTAGGAGGTAACTAGTCTAACAGGTTACAGAGGGAAGAGAAACCAAGCCAGGAGCAAGGGAGCACCTTGGTTTACATTTTAAACTTGGACGTTTGCTACTTTCGTATTTATCCTAGCCTGAATCTAGAAACAGGTGGGCTTTTAGAAAAAGGATTACAGATCCATCTATAGGCTGGTGCCGGATTAAACAAAATGAAGTGAAAAATAACCTCTAGGGTAGATGGGACAGTTTTCTGGAAAATGATTTGACGAGAGGTAACCACAGAGCCTCCTTCCTGAATTCTCTTTATCACACTCGGCTAGTGGGAAAACCAATAAAAGTTCAGAACTTTCAAAATCAGTCAAGGTCATCTAAATTAGCATCACTCTATGGGTGAAAGAGGTACTAAAAGGTCCAGTAATATCATTACAAAGTATAATCATAATGCTTCAATGACCACACACAGATACAATCACCTAGGAGCAAAAGCCACAAAGAAATGATAGCTAACGGATAACTAAATTAGTAACAAAATTCCCTACTTCCCTCCCCAGAATCTAAGCAAAAATGATATACCTACCTTAGTGGCAAACAAGGTAAATTTTAAAAAGAAAGGAAAAACTACAGACATTTTAATGACACTGAAATCTGAAGAGCAATTTCCTTCTGGAAAATTCCTTAATGTTTGTTTTTTACCTGAGACTCAAAGAATGGAGAGCTTCCTTGCTGCAAAAATAGAACCTTTTCAGAAATCTCTCTTTCTTCTTTGGTCTGTTTGAATAAAGGGGGTTGGGTTGGAGAAGAGGAAGCAGACAGTTTCCAAAAAGGCAAGTTAGGAAGAGAGTTCTTTTCTTGTGCTACACATATAATACTCATTCATTTTTTTTTTCTGAAGAAGTAAATTAGTGCCTATTAATTTGGAAAATGGTCGGAAGCCATCTCAACATTTAACAATTATTTCCAAAGAGTAACAGATTATGTTTTGAATCTCCGGTGTTTTTAGGATTCAAACATTTCTCATTTCTACAAACACAGAATATGCAAGAGTGGCATAAAGAGCTTTCTGGCATTTCAGTAGTGTTCATATGTCAGTGATCTGCAATACTGTAAAAGTGAGTATTAAAATGAAAATGTTAAGATTTAAAAAAAATTAAGTGAGGAATAAATTCTCACTTCCATGTCTGACAAATTCTTGATCATATTCCCTACTGAAGTGCCGCCTGATACGGAGAAAGGAAACACACGTGGGTCACTGCATTAGCTACTAATCTCAACCACCCAGTTATGCCCAGATTGATGTCTTTATTCCACAAATAAGCATAAGGTTATAGCTTTATTTGAACTTTTATAACATGGCAAATAATCCTGAAAAGTCAACTTCAGAATATCTTGGTGAAGAATTAAGTATTTGAAGTCATGCTTGTCTTTAACATATAAAATTTAAAAGGACATTACGTATGTTATGTTAGAACAGTTTTTTTCATCTTTTTATTGCTTCCTTTAGTATTAAACAGGCATAATTCAAGGGGCAATACGTTAGCTACCGAGCCTGTCTCTGTGTACAGCACACGACTGCATAGAATAGTGAACAAAAGGATATTTTGGTAAAGTCATCTAAAAATAATAATAGAAAAGTTCAAAGTTTCTAGACGAATGGAACTTTGAAAATAAACCCTCTTGCTGATGATAAGCAATATAATTTTATGAGAGGTATTTAAAATTCCTAGGTATGTATCTACAAAGCTATCAGTACTATATTTAATCGTTTGCCTGCAAGAGGTTATAGAGGAGCATCTGGAATGTTATCTGGAATGACCTGCTGACAGATTTTGATAGCATCGTCCTCATATGCTCCTTTTAAATGAGCAACAAATAAGACATTTCAAAGGGGGAAAAAAAATCCCTGTCCTGTCCCATTCTGGAGAAAGATATTGTAAGAGACAAAATGTACCATGTGGAATCATTCAATGTGGATTTATTTTTTAAACTTTCAATCATAGCCTCTTTTATAAACAGAAATAAGAAACAGGAAGTCAAAATTATAGACACTTTTCAGAATGCCACGGCTAGGCCTCTAATTATAATCACTGAACTAAATATTTTCCTACAATGAGAGCTTAAAAAAACAACAGCAGTAGTTTTCAGCATATCCTGTTATCTGACATCAACTAATTTTAAAAACGTCTGTGTCTGTAAGTAAAAATGTCCACACTGTCTGCATCCAGAACTGTGCATGTCCCATAATAACGGAAAAGGGTAACATAAGGGGATAGATGTTATCATTAAATCCTGTATACTGTCAACCCCAATCCAGTGAGTTCTGCTAAAGTTAAGAGGTACTGATAAAGAAAAGCTGATAATCGAAACATTTACTAGGGGTTAAGACAGAGTCAGATGCACACCCTGACTATTTCATTTAGTTCCTTAAACGTTCATGCCTGTGTCATAATTGGGACACAAGGCCCTACAGTGGCATGCAAAATTCACAGAGGTGTTACTTGCTCAGATGATTAAGGGTCTCTATGGAGCTGGGACTTTCATTTCTGCTCGGGCCAGGGGTTCTCAAATTGGGCTGTGAATTAGAATTATGTGGAGAGCTTTTAAAAAGAGTAATGTGTGGGGTGCACCTCTGACTAATTAAATCAGATTCTGAGGTAGAACCCAGGCATCGGTATTTTAAAAATCTTGTAGGTGACTGTAATACGCGTCTACAGTCGCACCCCAGGGTCTGAATGGAAAGTCACAGAAGTCAGATTCACAGAATGGAGATAATTCTCTCTATCCATGAATAGATGATCCACAGTGAATGTGTATTTTGCCCAATTTAAGGCCCATCCAAGACCTGAATAGCAAAAGTAAAGCTGGACAAGAAAGCAGAAAAATGCATAAAGAGAGTGGATTCTAGTTACTTATGGCAGTTGTGTTCTATAAAGTTGCTGTGAACACTGAATTACTGAGTACTGAACCACAGCTCCTAGGGGAAAGACAGGGTCAGGTTCCTGGGAGCTTCTGGTCATGAAATTTTTGTCAACTGATCAATGCATAACCTTGTTTTATGTGTGTTTCTGTTTAAAGACCCCTTATTTAATATCTATTATTGATCCATTAACATCAAACTCACAGCCAGCAGCACTATAACTTATCCTGAACAAAGCGTATCTGACACACATATTTTCCTATAAGGCACATCTCAGCCTTCTTGTACTTGGGAACACTAGACAGCACTTCAGCACTATGCCTGGAGATCGTTTTAAATAGCAAAATCACCAACAAAAAACACAAAAAAGCAAAAATGTGGCACTAAACAGGCTGTTGCCTGTTCACCTTACCTGGGAAGGTGTGCCTTGAGCAATTTTTTTTTTTTAGGCCGTGACAGTGAGAGTCCCGCGCACCACGATTTAGAGTGGCCCCCGCTTGCCACAATTAGAGAAAGCCCTCGCACAGAAATGAAGACGCAACACAGCAAAAATAAATAAATTAATTAATAAACTCCTACCCCCAACATCTTCTTTAAAAAAAAAAAAAAATCAGGAGTCATCACATTTTTTTCAAAACAACATTGTATCACTGAGATTCCCCAAAAAATCCAACTAAGTGTGGCGTCACTGCATCAGTTTCTTTACCCTTCTGACACAAGCAATATTACTTTGAGAAGTCACTTTAAAAAATTAAGTTACATATTTTCTTTTAGAAATAATTGGACCTCTTTCTAAACTGGCCAATTACTGTTTAATTAATTTAAAGTGGGTCATATTAAATAAAAGGATAACATCAAATGAGTAATTTACTTAGAAAAACACCTCCCCTCTAAAATGAAAATCTTTTGTTTAGGTGTTTTTAAACAAACATGCTTTGTGTATGCCTAGCTGGCTGGGAGGATAAAATTATCTTTTGTGCTTTTCACAAAACCAATAACAAAAGCCAATATTAAGTTTTAATATAGAAATGAACAAGAATTTGGAGCATAAGAACTTGCCGGGCTGTCTCCAGGGCCCTCAAATGGAGGATAAACTGGGTGTCACCAAGGGCTCCGGGAGAAGGGTCAGATGGGAGCCCCAAGGCGAGGGAAGCGCGCATAGCCCTGACCTCCCAGAAGGGACCTCTCTTTCTCTGGGACTTGAAGCTCCTTGGAGCTGCTTTTTCAGAGCCCCTCTGATAACCAGGGTTATTAGCCAGCCTTGTTTTTAAGAAGCTCTTCTTTACATCTAGCAAGTCTCCCAATAATTTCCTCCCTTGCCGGTGGCAGTGGAGTCCTAAGGTACAGCTTCTGCTCACCACTCAGCAGACACTTGAAAGCAGTTACTAAGCCAGCTGCTGGTCTCCAGTCTACGTAACCAAACCACTTTGTGCTTCTGCAGAGGACATCTTTCCTCCATCCTTTAATCCTTTTAAAACAATCCTTTCTTAGGTCTACTGCAGTCTCTCTGCACCAACAGGGATAAGGCATCCACATCGAGGGTAAGTTCAGCGTATTCAAAGCATCACCTCTTAAGTTATTAACATTCTTTGGGGTCATCACCGTTATTCTCTAAGGATCAGAGGATTTAATAAGTGAAAACAATTTCTTTTACTAGTCTAATGACCTAGACTTCGACAGTCCCTTGTTTATTATCACCACCTTTAACTTCTCCAAGCAACTACCCGAACTTCCATTCAAAGGGCTGCTACCTCGCGTGTCCCTGAGTGACAGCAGGGGAGGAGAGGCCTGACTTTTTCAGTGGCTATTTATTTTGTGTTTTTGTAACGTAATCCAGTATCTGCCATCTTCAGAGCCAGCACGTCCTTCCTTATTTCCAGCCCTCGTAGAAATAGGGTAAACCAAACTTGACCAGTTACAATAAAACTTATCTGACCATAACTCATAAGTGGCAGTCTTACTAATGCAGGAACTACAATATTTAAATCAATCAGGAAAACCTGAAATTTTTGTGTTGAAACTCAAACAATCTGAATGAAACCGATGTTTAATGGTACAGGAATACTTTGGTCACAGGACTTTTCATTTATTCTGCATAAAAAGGCCCTTTACAAAGTAATTCAAATGGTGATATACCTTGTCATTTTTTTTTAAGTGGGATTGGAACTGTCATGAACATCATGATTGTGGTCACTTTAGATAAACATCTTTCAAGGGAAGAAAGAAGTTAATATTATACTAGAAAGATGCCGTTTTAAAAAACGACTTCTTTTGAAAGACAGATAAAGTAAGATGATGTGTAACAGTTGACAGTAAGATTAGTACCACTGCCACTGTGGGTCCCACACGATGGGAGCCTTGAAGTAACACCAGCTGAATCCACTATCTTGCTGTACATTTAAAGAGTGATTTCCTACATGGAAGACTTACTCAAAAAGACATTCTGGCCTTTACTTTCCCTATTAAAAACCAAATAAAAACTGATTATAAGTCATAATATAATATATATGTTTATATATATAAATCAGTTAAAATAAACAATTTTTAAAAAAATATATATATGCTATAAGTAAAAATGAAATAAAAAATTGAGTATACCCGTAAAAACCTGGTGTAGTAGTCCCAGAGTAAAGTATGCCCTGAAATGTTGTCAACTTCAGAACACTGTTTAGTCAAACATTAGACAATCTCAATAGGCATGCTCATCTTGCAACTGATGAGAAACAGTCATGAATTTTCAAGGCATTTCTTAAAGTAGCGGAAGTACATTCAGAAAAACTGTTGGTTCATTAATACAGTAGGTCAATGTCTCCCAGCTGTGAATCTAGAATAAGCAGATCTGAACCAGAGTTTCCTTGTTCGTTCCAAAGCACCACGGGATGCGATTACTCACTCCTTGGCCACCTAACATTGTACTGGTTATACACAGACAAGGGGTGAGATTCTCTACTGAGAAGCCTGCCACATCCTTTCCCTGCAGACCCTGCAGAGGAGCGAGGCTAGTGGACAGAAGACAAGTGCAACCCAAAGCCTGAATACCAACCTCTTCAGGTACCAGCGGCTCGATCATGGGTGCCTCCTCCTGCCGGGCGGCTAGTCGCACGGGGGAGGTGGAAAGCCTCTTTTCCCATTCGTTCGTGATGGCAGTGTCTGTGGAGGTTTCTAAAAAGGTTCTTTTCAGCTCACTAATATTGGTCTGATGTTTCATCAGGTCATCTTGGGTTTTATCTAGCTCCTATGTTCAGAACATAAAGAATCCAACAGTCAACACTTTACGTTTGTTTTCCTTTCTGCGTGCTCTCTCTCGTTTTAAAAGTTAGGTCATTATCTCATTAGTAGTCAAAATAAAAGAATTCTGATCAGGGCTCATGACACTACCACAAACACTCTGGTGAAAATGTGATATTTCCGAGGGAAAACAAAATCTAGTTCACGCAAGCATAAAAATCAAAAGTTTCAAAGGTCAACTGTTAAGAGTGTAATTCACATGTAACCAGAGAATTAAAATAAATACGCACGGAGGAAAGGGGATCTACGTCTAGGAGAGAGGAAGGAATCAGAGGAAGCTGAGAAGTCAACCGCACGTATTCACAGGTGAGAACACACCCTTCATGCATCATGGTACGAGCCCACAGGTTAAGCCACTAAAGGAAAACCAACACACACAAGCATGCACTGGTATATACCAATACCAACCTCTAACATAAGATTACTATGTTTGACATACACATTTTCACCCTTTATTCGCTTAATCAGACTATTCTGAAAAAAGTGGAGAAGAAAGGAAGGTAAGGGACATGATCGTCACATGAACAAGTGTCATCCTCCACACTGCACCAGCACACAGTCACCACCACGGAGCATGCTGCAAGATCTGAACACCACAGACAATGACTTATCACACGCTGGTTTCTGCTTTTGTGTTTGGTTTTGAATTTTCTACCTGTGCCTTGAGCTCTGCATCTTCCTCCTGGTCCGACTGCCAGCATCAAGAGAGAGTGGGAAATAAAGTCTTACCATGCCATCGACTCTAAGATGGAAGGATGGGTCTACATAAGCCAGCTACATGGGGGCGCTAGTTTGCTCTTATGGGAGAAGACATTTCTTTCTTATACATAAACCACAACGTTCTCACACACAAATTGTGAAGCTTAATAAGAAGACAGGAGCAAAAGATTCCTTGCCCCTTGGGTGTTTGACATTTTAACCTGGACACTTCCAAGCACGATGAGCCCACACGTGTGCTTGGGAGGACAGCTAGGACTTGGCGGTCTGTCCTTAAAAGACGTTAGCAACAGTTCAGGAAGTGGGGGAAGCCAACATCGAAATTAAAATTCACAAAAACGGCTATGAATATCCAATGATGAGAGCTCCCTTGGAGTGTAGGAGTCCTCACAATAATCCTATGAGGTTAGCTATTATGATCCCCAGTTTGTAGACCAGAGAACTGAGGCACAAAGAACTTAACGCAGAGGCCAGAGAACCGAGGCACAAAGAACTTAACACAGAGGTTCCCACATTAAAAAATTTCTTGGATCTTTGAATTTCTTGAACCCACCTACTTAAAAACAAATTTGGGAGAGGAGAGGGCTGATACGGATGGGGTAAGTGAGGAAATTAAATAGACTACCATCAACTACAAAAATCAACTATAAGACGTGGTCCAGAGTGAAATTATGGGTGACAAGTGGGTGATGCCAGAGCACATGGCCTTCAGCAAATGGATCACTTTGTCTGGGTCTCAATGGGGACCAGACTCTCTAACCTACACACCCCACCCTGCACTGCTGTTACACTGGCTCTGGAAAAAAGAGAAGGGGGAGCGTTTATAAGAAGCGTTAGAGGGCTGGAGGCATGCTGATTCTACAGAGGTGGTGGGTTCATAGCTCTTCATTTTATTTTTAAGTTTCATAACCTACCTATGTTATACGTCTTCGTTTGCATGCTTAAAATGTTGTATAACAAAGTTTAAAACTGCTAGAGAAATTTATAGTATTTTATTTTCTCATAGCTGAGTCATTTGTTTTTAACATCTTTATTGGAGTATAACTGCTTTACAATGCTGTGTTAGCTTCTGCTGTACAACAAAGTGAATCAGCTATATGTATACATATATACTCTCCCTCTTGAGCCTCCCTCTCCCCCCCCCCCCCCCCATCCCATCCCTCTAGGTCGTCACAGAGCACAAAGCACAAAGCTGACCTCCCTGTGCTATGCAGCAGCTTCCCATTAGCTACCTATTTTACACATGGTAGTGTATATATGTTAATGCTACTCCCTCCAATACCATATATTAACGCACACAGATGGAATCTAGAAAAATGGTACTGATGAACCTAGTGGCAGGGCAGGAATAGAGACGTAGAGAATGGACTTGTGGACACAGGGAGGGGGAGGGGAGGAGAGGCTGGGACGAATTAAGAGAAATTTAAAGTAGTAGTATTAAAATATTTTTCATTTACAGCATACCTTAGGATTACAATGAAATTTACTGAAAGTATCAGTGGTTACATATAACTAATTCTTAGAAAATTAAGATGCAATTGTTATATTTGGTATAGAAAATGATTACCCTGTAATCAGTTTACATGTGACTGCTTAAAAGAACCAGTATGATAGTTTTACAGTATTATCTCTAAATTAAAAAATGATGACTTCCAAACTTTGAACTGAACTCTGGCATTTCCAAAGGACGAAACAATTAAACTCCATTTTGAAATGTTTTTCTGAACATAGTTTCAATGAAGTGTTGTGTAGATACTACCTATAACATTTTTAGTTCTTCTTAAATACCCAACTAGAAAATATTGTTATGACTGGATAATGGAAAAAACAACCTAATGTTAAACACTATCACAAAGTAAAAAAAAAAATTCTGTTATTAGCACTTTAGGAAATGAACATCTTGACTTCCATTGCTATACATAAATATTGTTTTTACAGAAATTTTAATTAGTTACTGGTAGAGCAGATTTAGAAAACGTAAGCCATACACATATTTAATGAACCCTAAAGAATTAACAAAGGATAAATAAGAGCATGGTATCACTGGTCAATGTGATAATTTTTTTTCCAATAAAGTACTGACAGTAATTTGTTCATTTTCTTTTCCTTGGAAAATTCATTTCTTTTGAGTGACCCAGACTACATCCAGGCTATGAAAAATGAGTTAAGAGAAGTAGTATAATTTTAACAAGCATTTTGACCATTTGGGATTTTAAAGTATATCTGTATCTAGTCAATAAGCTAATTACATAAATTGTACCACCCACCCCCAATTATGGCTATCATGTGTAAACATTTGGGATAAGGGAATACATTTAAAAAAATATACACACTACTGCATATAAAATAGATAACTAATAAGGACCTACTGTATAGCACAGGGAACTCTACTCAATACTCTGTAATGACCTATATGGGAAAAGAATCTAAAAAAGAGTGGATATATGTGTATGTATAACTGGTTCACTTTGCTGTACACCTGAAACTAACACAACATTGTAAATCAACTCTACTCCAATAAAAATTTTTTAAAAAGTATTACCAATTTAGCCAAGGGTTCTCAAAAAGTGACCCTGAAATGGATAGAGTCACCTGGGAACTTGTTAGAAATGCAAATTCTCCAGTCCTACCCCAGACCTTCTTCTGAACGTGAAACAGGAGGATGGGAACCTCCAGATGACTCTGATGCAGGCCAGAGTTTGAGAACCACTGGTCTAGGCAGCAGAATATATTTAACTCCTACTGTTAAAAGCAGAATTTCTCTCCACCCTAAAAGGCAACATGCAAAGTTCCTAAAGGCAGAACCAGCATTTTTGTTAGGCAACGGGCGGCACCCACAGCGACTGTACCAACCTCAGTGGCGGTGGTTTCCCCATCAGCCGCGGTGTCCGTGCGCTCACTGTCGGTCTGTGGATCACAGAGGTGATCAGGTTCCAGGAGGAAGGCAGGAAGGGAAAACAAACCATCTCGTCAAGCGGGCAAGCCTGGGGCCTACAGTTCAGTCCCTTTTTCTGTGATCTGTATCGCACTACCTTCCCAACAAGAATGCAGGTTCTAACAAAAGCCAAAGAAAGGCCAGAGCTAGGTTCCATCAGCAGAGACACTCAGAGGAAGACCAGAGGCACACGGCCTGCGTAACCACAGGACGTGTATTAGCCAAGCTGACATGTCTGCTGCCATGTCATTCTTTCCCCCATTTTTAACTGAAACCCCTAGAAAGAGCTCCTAGAAATGTTTAATGCAAATAAAATTGCTGTTCATATATTTTTAAAAAAATTCTAGGAATAGGTCACATTTGAAAAGTAACTTAACATGTCAATTTAAATAAAAAACTACTATTAACAGTCACTGGACTTTCAGCCCCTCATTTACACCATTTTGGTAATTTACATCCATCTGAGACCATCAGGCTGTCTGCATTACCTTTTAATTATAAAAAGCACATGCCAGTGACTCACAGGCATATGTTTTATGTATGAAAAATGTAACTCAATTCTCAAGTAGGATTGCTAACTAGATATTTTTTAAGACTATATGTTGTTTATTTCGTCCCACCCTCCAATAGAAAGAGGTATAGAGAAGTATGTAATTAAATATCTCGTTCCAAAATAAACATTCAAATGAAGCAAATAATAGTAATGAAAAATAAGGAGAGAAGGAGGGAGAGAGACATCTACTTGGACACAAATAAAACAAAGCACAGCATTTGACAGAGCCTAGGTTTTCAAGGGAGAATTACAATAGTAATTTCAAGACTGATTTTTAATCTGTTTTTATAGCGGTTTATGATTTACAACAAAAACTCTTTTTTTTTCTGGAGGAGAGATGAGCCACAGCCATTGAAATTGGGACATCTCAACGTCCTATATAATATTACCTGACTTTCCCTTCTCAACTCTCAAACTAGTCATTATTCAAAGTCCTTTGAGCAAAGTTGTGGATTAGTAATTTGTCAACAAAAATCCATACTGGGGGCTCTAAGGTTGTCAATCTGTCTCTTAAAATAATCTCTCATTGCAAAGACCATGGATTACCAGCGGGAGGGCTGAGACAGTGCTCTTTATGTCTACATGACTCTGGCTGGGTTGAATTCTTGATCCTCTCCCAAACTTTCCTTTTCTATATTCCTAAAAGAAAAGGAGTTGGAACTCATGCTTGGCCTGTGCCCCTGAGGTCTCCATCCTGGCAGACCTGTGCCTAAGAGGGAAATCCTTTTCAGCAGGTTGGTAAAGAAAGCATGCTGAGAGCTTTCATGACCCGACCACCTTGGCAACACCTGGAAGGGGGTGGCTATTAATTTTCTTATCAGGGTGATCACTGCTAGGGCATTAGCATGGCTTCACCAACTGACAGTCTAGGGCAAGGCCAGTTTGATTTAGGAAGAGAAGCAGGTCACTGTTCAAGGGTATGGGATAACCCGAGGAAACCTCAGGCTTTCAAGAACCAATAAGAACGACTTGGGCTCAGTGCGCTGACTAGTTGTGTCAAAGGCCTCGAAAGTTCTTGAAAGTTTTTCTCCTCCTACTTTGATTATTTCCCTTATGGCTTTAGAATTCACTTCAGCAGCTTTCCAGGCATCTTGGCACTGGAATTACCGCCATGGTCAAGAGTGAGGGGGTCTCGGGACAGACTGACATCAGCTCAAATCCTTGCTATTTATTTAACTCTGTGGCACAGGGGGCAGGTTTCATATTTTAATCCCAATTTCCTTCTTGGAAAATGGGGAAAACCATAGCCCTAACTGTATCAGGTAACAGATACTAAGTCTTTATGCGATGCCTGACACATACACACAGCTAAAAATGCCTATAAAAATCATAAATATTGATAGCAAAACAGTATTTCCTAAGTATTGCTATGATTTTTCCTAGCTATACACAAATAAATCGCAGCTTAGGCCATATCTAAACCCCCTCAATCCCCTACTCAGCACCTAGTCAGTCAGTCATTCAACAAACATAGCGCCTGATCAATATACAGTTAATGACTGAAGTCTTAAAGGCTGAATAAAGCAGCTTTTATAGCAACTTTTATTTATATAATATCCTATGTCTAAGAAAAACTGCAAAATGTATGGCATGCCATGGACTATCATATAATGTGTTTACGCCCTCTAAAATGTTGAATCAAGTGATCAATCTCTTCCTCTAGACTTCATCCACCTCGTTTCTTGGTATTATCAAAAAATTCTTCACAAGTTGACACATAATTACGGTGAGCTAAATTCATCTTACGTCTCTGGACAGATGTAGATGATTTAGCATTCGGCCTCTCCTTATCTGACCAAAATTCTAGAAGGACAAATGAAAAAAAAAAAAAAGCTAACAGCTCTGTAGTTTGAAATGATTACAGCTCTCTGCACTGGGTTTCATTCTTGAGAAGGGCTGGGACTAATTAAGCCACTACCACACGTGACAGATGTAAGCAGTGATGATAAAATATTTCAAAAGAATTAGAGTCATTAGTGATTTTGCAAAACCAGAGTGACGGAGCTGAACCGTATATTACAGAGTCACCCGGTTTAGCTGCCAAAGCGCTTGAGGCCCAGGGACTAAAACAGGCCGTGTCAACAAATGGCGCGTGTTTTTTTTTTTTTTTACCTGAATGACCTACATCTGAGTTCTCTAGCTCAGCTTGAACCAGAGCTCACAGCTCTTAACACTTGGGGTTGAGACGACATTGAACAGATGGCCAAATACAAAGTCATGTGGCAGGAGAGCCGTCATGGGTGACCGAGGCTGGAGCGGAGGACAAGAAAGGCCGCTTCGGCCAGAGCTGGTTCACGGTCTCAGAGGAGGGTTTACGTGTGGGGAACACCAGCCACGCGGCCTCCAGCTTGCGAGGAGTAACTGCTGTGATTTGTTTTGCTGATGTAATGCAGACATGCCCAAGTTGAACATTAATTTTCATGCACTGATTACAACAAGATGTACACCCTGGATTAGGCACAAGATCTGTGTGGTTTGCTACATAAAAGTTCAGTTATTTAAAATGCAGAAAAACATAAAATGGCGATCTTTTCGCCTTCTGTTAGCTTGATGCCTAGCTCCACTGCTAAAGGAACAAAGATGAGCAGGTTGGAAACCAGCTAATATTATAAACAGTTTTTGTAGATAATACTGCGTTCGTCAGAACTGTAGGTTTGGACCTACGTTATTTGATTATGTTGCTACTATGAGAAACGGTGGTATTCAAACCTAGGATTTAGAGTGGTTTTTCTCTTAAAATATTTTCCATGTACGAAAATAGTTACACATAGATAGATTTGGAGCCAAGTCACAGAGGATCCAAGAACCTTGCAAAGGGCTCTTAGGCAACATCAAATTGAAAAGCCTAAACTTTTCTTGGGAACGTCTTGGAGACCATTCCCACTTTTTTCCTGCTGCTGCAAAGAAACAGTCATAATACCACTAAATATAGATACGTACCTCACAATGCTATCTACTCACAGGTGCAGCTCGGATTACCATTTCTAGCTGAGCATAGAACTGAATAGACTTTCCTTTTTTAGTGTTGCTTTGACTTTGCGATTTTCTTTTTGAATGCTAGGTGTATTATTGGGTTTGGCTCCTGACACAAAACCCTCCAGAACTGCTGGAGGAGCGGGGGGCAGGCGTAGGCAGGAGGGTGGGTCTCAGCCAGGGGCCTGTTGGCACTTCTGTTCTTTTTCCCTGCGTTCTATTTAAAGGCTGCACAGAGGGAAACCGCTGGGCTCTTCACAGGGCAATGGAGTGGAGGGAAAGGGGAGCAATTAAGAGGAAACACTACCTGCTAGGATGTCACCTCCCCCAATGGCTCGGATGAGGGACGGGGGACTGACAGGCAGCCTGCTTTCACGGATGGAGGCTGAAGGCTCAAGTCCTTTCCTGGTCGCTAGCCGCAGAGGCCCATCCAACTTCCCCAGCCTCACGCCGGAACTGAGAGAATGGGTGCCGCCCAACACATGCCTTGGCATTGCTCGTGTTCATGAAATCTCAGCCGATTTTTACAGCGTGTGGAAACCTAACAGGAGTCTTTCCTGATTGTGTTTGGAAACTGCTGTTTTCAACTGCCGCTCTTTCTGGTCCTGTTTCTGGCCCTGCCAATGACCAATGTCACGGAGCGTTTTAAACTGCTCAAGCCCCTCTTTCTGACCCAACACACCCACGGGATTGGGCTCCCCTCGTGGAGTAACAATGACGGTCTGGCAATGACAATCAAAGAGCAGCGGGGGCATTTCAGAATCTCCAGGGAGGAGAGGGAGGCATTTACAGTCTTGGAGAGCTGCCCCGAGGGTGGTGGTGCACCTCGACGGCGGTGCTGTCTCCCGCCGCGCCCTGAGCATCTTTACCTGGTGCGTATCACCACTGTGCATCATTACAGCAGGGTACATTTTGGTAACTTGCCGCCAATCTAGTTGAAAGTTACTCATCCGTCTTCTGTGTCATTCCCTTTATTGAATGAGAACTGAACAGAGCCTTTAAGTCGACCCTGAGTTCTTACGTAGCTAACGGGTTATTTATTTACAATTGGCTCACGGCTGAGTCCTTCCCCACCCGCTGGAGTCGGTGGGTTGGCAGTGCGGTTCCGGGCCGGGCTCAGCCTGCTGCATCCACATGGTGTTGTGCCTAACCCCGGGGCCGGGTCGCACCCCCTGCACACAAAACCTCTGCACAGATTGGCACAGACGATAAATGAGGCTCTGAAAGTAGGACCACTATCGCAGCAGCCGTCTGAGACTGTTTCGGACCGCGGCCCCGAGCACGACAGGGACGTGTGTTCTATGCCGCGGTACACACCTCTTCCTCTGAACTGTCACTCGGGTCATTGTCTAGTGAGGCACTCAAGGAGGCCGCCTTGGGCTCCAGGCAGCAGAGGCACAGAGCCAGAGGGAAGGAGAGAGTGAGGGCGTATGGCACTGAGAAGGAGGCGGAGAGCAGGAAGAAGAAGATGAAGAGCACGCAGGGCACCAGAGAGGGCGAGCGGATGGGGAGGTAATGCCGCAAGCTCTGGGGCAGGAGGTGGCTCTCGGAAAGGTTGGGGAAGGACAGGTAGCCATCGTCATCCAGGAGAGAGGGGAAAGACTCGGGGAGTTGCAAGGAGAAGGAAAACAGCGTGGCCCCTCTGCCCGGCCGCTGTTTGCAGCTAAAAGCCACATCGTGGTCCCCCAGGCACGGCTTCCCTCGGCCATCAGAGTCCGAGGCGGGCTCCCCGTGCAGGTGCCCGGGGTCTCTGGCCGGCTCGACCCCCGGCGGGGGGTGCCCGTTCTCCTTACACCTCCTGCGGAGCCCTGTGGGAGATGCAGGGGGAGAGCGGGCTGATGGGGGGGAGGGGGGACATGAGTCAGTGCCAAGCCCGGGTGACTGATGTGAGAGAGACAGCGAGAGAGACAGAAAGCAGCGAACAGAGGTGCAAAAGGACAAAAAGAAAACTGCAATTAGTTAATTTTCTTATGGGTACCGAGAAAAAAATCGTCAAACAAGAATTTCAGCACTAGGGTTGTTGGTGAATTTTAAAGTATTCAAGCGGCATGCCAACGCTGCCATGAATGGCCATCGTCTTCCCATTAGACCTTCAAGTCAAACACAGGGTGGGCTTGAAAAAAAAAATCAGAACTAAAGAGATCTGTGGGTAATCTCATGACTACGTTTCATATGATCCAAAACTTCTGTTTAGACCAACAACTCTAGAAATTTTTAGGATGCTGAGAGCAAATGTAACTCTCTGATAACTTAAAACCAAGACTTTCAATAACTTCTCCTAATCTCCAGCGACCAGATCTGTTACTAGGGTTCAGTTAGATTAAAATGACAATGAATCCAATTTTTGATGATTAAAAACAAAATCTCTAGCATTACTTTTCCTTGGTTAGTCAGTCATAGCCAAAGCAGGTGGGTTTCCAAATCACCAAGTTTCTGACCCCACTCCTACCCATAAGCAGCTCCAATTAGGGAATTCCACAGTGAATGCCGCAGGAACCTTACCTCTCCATAAAGCACCGAGGCTCTTCTGAAAACGACGATTTTGGCCCCTTACCCATCATGTACACGGGGGAGCTTGAAGAAGTGGTTTCGAACAAGCTAACTAGCGAAAAAGGACGTGTTTTCTTGTGATGTGGTTTATCTGCACTTACTTTGTATTACTTGTGGTCCGTAAATAATAGAAAGATACAATTTCCCCACCTTCCGGTTTTTCTTAGAGGAGCCGTAGGCTTAAGCCGCCTGGTTTGAGTCCTTAAGGGGAAGATCAAGGCAGGCAACCCCACGATAGTGCTCCTGGGGAGGGGCATGCAGGCTTGTGCAGGGCAAGTAAGGTTCTTTACACCCTTCCTGGTCCCCGCAGTCTCCGTGACCACAGCCAGCTTTCTCTGCAGGTGGTGGAGGGATGCTGAGCGAGAGGGGTGGGAGAGACAAGCAAATGCCAAACAGGACCCAGGGCCAGCGTGGAAGCTGCTATAGCCGAGTTCAAGACAAGGTCACCTGGAGCCTGAAGATGACTGAACTTCTGCTCGTGTGTGTGTGTGTGTGTGTGTACTCACATGCGTGTTTCTGCCTAGTGTCCTGAGAGCATGGACATTATCTGGTCTGCTTTGTGACGGTAATCCAACCCTGACTTGGTAAATATAGAGACAGAGGGTAAGAAAATGCACAAATAAAATTATATCATGGATCTAGTAGAATGTAGAAGTGTCTCTTTTTCGGTATCAGACAAGTATGTCTTTTCCTAATACTCACATCTGACATTAAACACTGTGTCTTAAACAAGACGCTGCACAAATCTCACTGAGCTGAGAATAATGTACAAGTTACAAGCCGCCTTCTGCCCGTGGAGGCTGCCCCGTCACCTGGGGTGATCGTTAGTGGGGAAACACACCTCCTCTCAAAGGAATCTAGGGACCAGTCACTTAAGAGCTATTTTCAGTAATACATTTTCATCTTGGTTAAAAAATAAGCGCCCTCTACGCTACTTTTTGAAGACAGAGAAGAATGAAATGACGGCTTAATCTTCCATGTTGCTGATCAGAGTGGTTTTTAGAGCGGCTTTTTTAAAAGTAATTAATTTTATTTATTTACTTTTTGGCTGTGTTGGGTCTTCGTTGTTACGCCAGGCTTTCTCTAGTAGTGGTGCGCGGGCTTCTCATCGCGGTGGCTTCCCTTGTTGCACAGCATGGGCTCTAGGCACGCGGGCTCCAGCAGTTGTGGCACGCGGGCTCAGTAGTTGTGGCTCATGGGCTCTAGAGCGCAGGCTCAGTAGTTGTAGCTCACGGGCTTAGCTGCTCCGCGGCATGTGGGATCTTCCCGGACCAGGGCTTGAACCTGCGTCCCCTGCATTGGCAGGCAGATTCTTAACCACTGTGCCACCAGGGAAGCCCTAGAGTGGTTTTTAAAGACAGCTTTGCAGCAGGGGAGATGTAGACAGCCCTTCAGCTCCTTCAGCACAAGGCCTCAGCCACGACCTCTCAGAAGGCATCAGGGTCACAGTGCTGGCTTCTCAGAGGCTCCGACTCTAAGAGAACAGTCTTCTTGGTCTTTCTAATCTCCCATGGCATAAAAGGCACCCAGTGATGCTGGCTTAGGGCTCCATCTCATGTAAACAAATCGCTGATCTTTTAAAATCAAACAAAGTGGGAGTGGAGCGTTTATGGAGCAAACGACAAGTCATTTACTTTTATGGGGCACTTAATCATATTTACACAGCCCTCAGAATGGAGTGTTGGCCTGGGCGACTTTCAGAAATCATGGGACACATTGGCTTTTCAAGTATATCATCTTCTGATCGTGACCTAGTTAGAACCCGCCTTAAACGAAACGAGTGTAAAAACAAAATTCAGAACAAAGCGCATTTTAACAGCAAAAGTGATCCAACTATCCTTCCATTATGTCCTATCCTGTTTTTATGTTTGTGTTTGGCAAATAAATAATCTTACCCTAAAAAAGGATGATGGATTGGGTCATTGGGATAGTCTAACATAAACAGAATGATGATACGTTTGCCAATCTGCCCATTTAGAGGTCACTGTTAAATTCTTATCCAAAGGAGCATTTTTCTACAGAGCCCCAGCTGATTCTCTGCCCCGTACTCTGCATTTGAAGAGCCCACGTGCAAAAGAGCACTTCTGAATCAAATTTACCTAAGTTTTAGCATAACCTCTAAGTTATACGGCATTTTTATTCTGCTGTTTCCTTTCACTCTGTACTCTGTACGTTCCAAGGCCCACTCTTGTTTTTCCATTATTATTATGTATAAACCTCCCGGCATGTTCTTTGACTTTTAGGGAGCTGCTCTGCGACATACAAAATCCCGAACCAGAAGCAGGTTGTCTACATGTTTTTTGACTTTCATTTTCCTGGAAAGTTGCTTTATAGTGATGGACCTCCAGAAATAAACACAGTATTTAAAAATAAATTGACTTTTGGATGAAATGAAGTGACCAAGTTCAATGAATAAAACACCCTGGAAAAATTACTGCCAAGTTCGCCCTCCGTCTTCCCTTGCAAACTTCGGCCTTAATATCCCTTCTCCAAAACACATCCACTGGCTACTCTGATGGTTAGGTTAAGATGATAAGACTGAGAGAGAGAAACAGTGGAAACAGTGTGTAAGTATGCAGGCTGTGGTCACTCAGCTACCGGCGGTCAGAAGGAGGGCAAAGCAATTACTGTGCATCTCGACAAATACACAGCCCTGGGTAGGAGGATGGGGCCAGAAACAAAGAGAACAGCTTTAGTGACAGTCCTGAATTGTGAGCCCAAACAGAAAAGGGTAATTCACCACCAAATGTATTTCTAAGATCTACAGACAGGACAGCTGTCCTGAAAGTCTCACGTAGCACCTCAGTTGTTCAATAAGAACTTCCCGAAAGTTAGAAAGGGCTTTTGTAGAGGAAAAGTGTTGACAGAGGACATGCTAATTTAAAAGTTGACAACATGAAGGTGACTAATGCTGAGATACGAATTAGCCTAAGTCTTATTCACATTCCTGGCTTATGTCCTCAGTCTTATTCAGGAGTTCTTTAGAGAGTGCACAGGTCGGGGAGACAGCGGGGAGATGTACCTTTCCCTCGGGCCGTACGGCAGCGACGGGTGTGGCTTCCTCGGCCTTTTGCCGTCTGTCGTCTTCCTCGCCCCGCTCCTCCTCTGCCTTTTTCTCCGGAGTCACAGTGGTGATCAAGTTGGTCTGAGAGATGCCCTTTGTTGTCATGTACTGGCCAGTACCAACCTCTGCAGCAGACACAGAATCCTTCATGTATATTTCATGGTTTTCATTCACTGATGCTAAAAGCAAATACAATTGGAGAAATAAAGACCAAAACAGTTAAGTCAGAAGACAGACGGACACCACCGATTGCTCCCGTTACAGCAAAAATCCCCCCATAAAATACCAGGTTTCTCTTCAAAAGACAGGTCAGCCCTGTAGGTACTCTCATCTAAGCAACGCCACAGATTCATCCTTCTGTTGTCACCCATAACTGCGTTTAAGTGTGATTTCAATGCTCGTCTCTCAAAGCCACCAGAATAATTTCCATCCACTTCTCAGGCTCTCTGGTGAGGATGTGTGTGAGGGTGGAGGTGAGAGGAAGGATGGGGGGCTGAGTGCCACCGAGGCTGTTACCCACAGAGTAACTGGCGGGGCACCAGCACCAGACACTTGGGGCAAGTTCCACAACTAACAGTAGACAGACAACTGCCCTAGTGCACTTGACTTTAAACAGAGCTTTGCAAGTGCCACTCATTAAGGAGCACTGAAATGTTTTTTTTAATTATTATTACTATTACTACCACTATTAGTGCTTGGAAAGTCTATCACTTCTACAATATAAAAGCTACATAAGTAATAATGAAAAGTAACCAGTTACTGGGCAGAGATTATAGAATTCAGATGGTAACTCTGTTCAACTGAAGTGCAGAAATGTTTTAATTTCTACTGTGCTTTAAAAAGACTACCACGATATGCATACATTCATTCATCTCTAGTATTTTGGGAAAACAAGACAAACGCTGCTAATGAAATTCATGCAAGTGCAAAGCACGCAAACGTAAGAGAGAACACCCAGCCTTTCGTCCCAGCTAAAATGTCTCAGTGAAAGAGATGCTTAATTTAGTTAGACTTTTGAAATTTGGTACTCATTCTTTTAGGTTTTAGGTGCCATAAAATTTACTGAAATTTAGAAAGGCTGCTTTTCAAATCGTAGGCAAAATTTAATCTGCTTTCATATTTTAGGAAGTTTAAAACATAAATGTAAGAAAAAGCTCTGAAATCCTTTGAATAGTGAACCGTTTTACTAAAATACCTTCACTAAGATATTTTACATCTCTTACTGATGATGAAAAAGCTCATATGAGACACAGTTTCCTAAAAGGCTTGTTAGGCTGTTCTAACAGATGATGCAACCTTGCAAAAAGCAGTTTCTATTCCAACATGCAGCCATGGCCCCCCCGAGCAGCAGCTCAGAAAACATACGAGAATTGGCAGGACCCCAAGGAGTGAGAGACAACACATACTAACATCACTTTGGGGCAGGGAGAAAGAGACAGCATGGAATTAGTACATTGATTTCACAATTGTCTTCTGTCTTCTCAGCAATCATTATCACACAGAAGGTCACAAGGAAAACAACATTCACAACAAGTGTGTCCCCTTGGGTTCACATCGCAGGACAGAGTGGATGACATCCGGGAAAAAAAGCTGTGATTCCACACAAGCTCCTCCAGCACTGACTTAGAGAACACACACCAGTTTACACAGACTCTTCAAGGAAGAGGAGATGAGGCGCCGCCAAAAGAAAGTCATTGTCAATGTGAGTTTTCCAGTATCTTAATCTGACTCAAAATGGTCCTAATCAACATTTTTCCCCAAAAGTTTGGCTCTCAGAGATTCTAAAAACGGGACATTGTTATAGAAGGTAGAGAATGGTAAGACTGACTTCCTAGGCCAGCTCACAAAAGCCTAAAGAATGATTATCAATATACCTACTGAGATCATTATGATTACATCTGTAACAAGACTGCTTTCACCTACGTCTTATTCACTCTTCGCAACAACCTGTCAGAGGTGGCCTCGATCCCACCTTACAGATGACGACTAAAGCTGGGACCTGCAGACAGTACTTCATCCACCCACCGCTGTACAGAGAGACGGTCTGGACATCGGTCTGAACTTATCTACCTACGCTAGGCGAACATTCTTCCCACTTCGCTAATATAATTTATAACAACGATACAGCACTAATAACACAATTTTTACTTCCTCTAAGTATCCCTTTGGGACAGTAAAGTCTTCTAAATCCGGCGATCCAGGGAGTTCGCTTCCCTACAAGCCACATCGGGGTTTGGCCAAATGGAAGGAAGAACTGAGACTCCATGGTGAGTGGGCAGCAAAAAAGGCCAGGAGGGAGGTGATACCAGGCACCTGTAACTTTTATTTGTTTCTATTTATGCTTTTGCTTATTATTAAAACTGTACACACATGCTAGAAACTTCTCTTTTTATGTGCCCAGGATAAGTCTCCTATAAAACATCTCACCCCCAAGGAGCTCTGGATTAGGAGGCAGAGGTCTGGCCACAGTCGTGCCCTGGTGTCTGGGGGGAATGGTTCTGGGGCCCCCGTGGATAACCAAAACCCACGGATGCTCAAGTCCCTTACACAAAACGGTGTACGTCGTACAATGAATACAGTTGGCCCTCGGTGTCTGTGGGTTTCACATCTACGGATATAGAGGTTCCGACTTTCCTACAGCTGCCATGTCTTGGAGCAGAAAGTACATCTGCATGTACCTCTGGACAGCCACAGAAGACTGCTCTACAAAACAAAAGCCTGCAAAAACCTCATTACTATGCCTTAAAAATGCTACTTAAGTGATGCAGTGACTCTCTCCCTGTGGTACTCACACATCTGACTTCACGGTACAGAATATTTACACAGCAACGCTCTCCCAGTCCAGCTGGTGTAGTAATTAATATTAACCAGGATAATTTCCTTAGAGCCCTTTGCTCTGTTATTTGAATGTCATCCTTTCTATCAGCTATTATTCACTGACTGATAAAAGTCACGTTCTATTCATAACATTTTTAAAGAAACAGAGATAAATCTAATGCACAGTTTTCTTTCGGAAACAAATCATCTAAAACCGACCTGATAATCATTTACCATCTGCTGAAAAGAGAAACAAATTACTTATAAGTATGTGATTGCTATATTTAGAATGAGAGCACCCTTCTCCAAATTCAGGGTGCCAGCTTATGAAAGCCACTTCATTCCCCAAGTACCATTCTTTTGTGTGATTTTATATAAACCCACCAAGAACAGACATAGGACTCCCACAGGCACCTTTTCTGGGGGGTTGGTTAAAATGTACCACTCAGCTGAAGACCAACGAGTGCTCTTCCTTTCATGCGATCGCAGAGCACCTGTGTCCATCAAAGGCTCACGATGGTTTCTCGCTGCTCGGTAGCCACTAGCAATCATTAAGGGGAGCAGTGCCTACCTCCGTCCAAGCTGCGAGACATGGTATAACGTTTGCTGGACGAACGCTCGAAGTAAGGGGCCGGGCGGTCTATCAGTGCACTAGCTCTCCTGGTTTGGGCTTGTGTTCTGCCACTGTAACGAAACTTGGACCCCAAGGTAAGGAACTTCTTTGGAGGTGCTTCTGGTAACAACAGTCTGGAGATATTAAAGGAAAAACATCAGCAAGACTATTAAGCCACATACTAAGAAGGCTAACTTATCACTCTGTTCTGAAAGGTAAAGTGCTTTGTGTACTCAGGGTTGAACCCCCAACCTGCCATTCAGTGAACCTGGTTTTATAAGGGAAAAAAAATCACTTCACACAGTGTATATCAACTAGGGATGTTGTAGAGAGGCTAGAAGCACAACAGGGGTGGAGCTGGACTAGGTGAATTTGAACATCCTATGGAACTGGAGAGTCTGTGGTTCTACAAACCCAGAGAGCAATTAAGTAGGGGATGTTAGTGAAGAACAGTGACCATTTATTACTTTGTAGACACAAATCTGAGGGCTTTAGTACTTACTGGATGTGGGCAAAGGGGTGCATGGTATTGAAAAGCTACTGAAAGAGTAAGGAAGGGATTGGACATCTGAAGTGGATGTTCTAGAAAAATAATGAAAAACCTCTCAAGATAATGAAGGGGAGATGAGACAGATAAGTATCCAACAAATTAAGGAAAATCCTTCAAATTTCGTCAGAAGTTCTTTTAGGATTTATCAAGAAATCTGGCGGCAACGAACTTGAAGGAATAGAAAGGATCTTGTGGTCACATTCTTCTTTCCAACAACCTCTTATCAGTGTAGGTGATTCCAACCACTCTACTTCTTCCTTAGGAAAGACCAAAGTGATCTCTACCCACCTGAAAAATGTATGGTGTTCCACACACACTTTCCACAAACGCTTGGCCGCTCTATGGTTGGGCAGCTTAAACCCGATGGTGCTTTCAAATTGTTCAAACTAAATTTAAAAGACATATTGAAGAGTAGAGTGAAGTTTGCAATCATAAATAACATGAAAGCAAATAATAGACAAAGTCAAAATACCACCCACAATTTTTTTCTTTACTCCCTAAATCAATTGCTATACACAGATTTCATGCTATACACATTCACTCGTTTAAAAAAATCTCCTATCTATCTCCTTAAAATGCTGCAGGTACAGACAACCACATTATGCATGTAGTAAAAGTTTCATGTACAAGGATGAATCTTATGAAAACTAAATGCAAAAAAAGAAGAATATTTGTATTCCTTCCAGAGACCAGTTTGTCCTGATCTGATTTCTAAGCCTAATCGTCATAGTTTCTCTCTGACATCATGACTTCAGCTGGAACGCAAAGAAATGAATAAAACAGCATTCTCAGGATGACATTTTCTCCTTGTATCTGGTCTGGAAATATGCGCATATCCTAGGTATTTGATGACTTGGTATCAGATACTGCTGATTTTATTTGTGCATTCTAATATAGCTTATCATGTTAAATGCTAACGTCTCTCAATATTATACAGTCATCCCTCAGTATCCAAAGGGGATTGGTTCCAGGACCCCTGTGGATACCAAAACCTGTGAATGCTCAAATCCCTTACATAAAATAGCATACTATACACGCATATAACTTATGCAGCCCTCCCATATACTTTAAATCATCTCTAGACTACTTATAATGCCTAACACGATGTAAATGCCAGGTAAACAGTTGAAATACAATGTGAATGCTACGGAAACAGCTGCCTGCATGCAGCAAATTCAAGGTTTGCTGTTTGGTACTCTCTAGAATTTTTTTCCCGAATATTTTCAATCCACAGTTGGTTGTATCCACAGATGCAGAACCCTGGGATACGGAGGGCTGACTGCATAAGGTCAGGGATTGGGAGAACACATTTTCATATTTTTCAGCATTTAGAGTTCAGATGATACTCCATCAGCCATCTGCTTTTTCAGGGTGAGGTAGCTAACTTCCTGGGTAATATATTTTCATATTACTATGGCAGATACGCAAGAAATATTTTTTATTTTCTGAATACATCAGGCCACCAGAGGGCAATCATCTTAAACAGTAAAAGGCTTCCCCAAAGAGCTCAAACCCCCCAGACTACTGGTATAATCGATAGCAAAAGTAATTTATGCGGCAAAGAACCAAGGGGAGGGGTCCTGTGCGAGGTATGTGAACTTTAGCTATTCCGGACCTCTGTTTCTTGTTCACTGAGTGGGACTGGCCAGGGGGAGAAGGGGAAGTACATGACGGGTGGCTCTAAATGCAGTCGCCTTCCCCATTTTCTCCCTCTGTCTGACATTCCTGTCCAGGGACGGTCATGAAACTCACCCCCGTCCAATGGACCCAGTCAACCGACAAGCCAGAGGAAGGGACCTTGACTAAACCATCCACCATTTATTCATCCTGCATCTCACATGGACGACACACCATGCTAAGGCCAGGGGTTTTACAGAAGAGTCAGCTAGCTCTTCCCGGAAGAAGCGGGAAGCCGGGAAGATTGTTACTGCTCTGTCCTACTCAGCACAAAGATGAGAGAGATCCCTGCACTTTTTGAACGTTTCTCTCTCTCTCTCTGTGCTCTGTATCCACTTCTTCCAACCGCTTCAGAGCCTTCGTGCCACCAGTAATTCCTTCTCCTTCTCATTCTTCCCAGCCTATGAATATGGTTGTAAAAAAGGGGAGGAAAACGACTTTCTCTGAGCGTGTTTCTGCAGAACCAGAATCACTGCTAAGTGTCAGGAAGGGAAGCCGCTGCTACTTCACTCCTCACCTTGCTGCTACCCGCCGGGGGCTCTAGCTCTTTCCTGAACCCTTACTGCCGCGACAAGACCTGATCGTCAAGTTCAACACACTTTCCTTAGTTCTCATCCGAGTGAACCAGGCTCCCTGAATCTCATCTTCCTTATTTATCATCCATGACTCTTTCTGGCCCTTCTTCTCCTCTCTGGTTGTTTTTCCTCATCTGCCTCTGGTCCTTTTCCGCCTACCCCTCCCTCAAAAAGTGGTATTATCCAGAGTTTCTGTTTTAAGAGTTTTTTCCCGTCTAACTTCCTTGTTCTTGGTAATTTCTTCAAGACCTAAGGCTTTGAATAAAATGTATTATACAGCTGATGACACTGTTTAAATCTTATATTTCTTACTATGCAAGGATCACCCCCCCGCCAAATTCTGTCCCAAAAGGAATTTCAATCTTTTTTTCTGAAATTCTCCCTTTTTCTCTCTAGTAATATTATCACCATTGACTTCGCTCATGCAAACCCAAAACCCTCTGATTATCCTGGACTCTCTCCTTTCCTCTTTTTTTTTTTTTTTTTTTGCGGTACACGGGCCTCTCACTGTTGTGGCCTCTCCCGTTGCGGAGCACAGCCTCCGGATGCGCAGGCTCAGAAGCCATGGCTCACGGACTCAGCCGCTCTGCAGCATGTGGGATCTTCCCAGACCGGGGCACGAACCCGCATCCCCTGCATCGGCAGGCGGACTCTCAACCACTGCGCCACCAGGGAAGCCCTCTTCTTTCCTCTTTTGATCTTTGCCCCATCCTGTCTCCAGGACCTCCTGGTTCTGCCTCTGAAACCTCTCTCTCAAATGTGCTTCTTCCATTCTATTCCCACAGCCTCTGCCCTAGTTTAGGTCCTGTCACAACACATTACTAAGCTGCTGAATTTCATCCCAAAATATCCACCGAGTATGTCACATCCCAGTTTAAAGTTCCCATGGCTCACTGTGGTCTCATGATGCACTGCTCCAACTTCCCCTTCTGGCCCCTCACAACATCTACGCTCATTTCACGTCTACGGAATATTATCACACTTGCATCGTGATGCTGTAATTGCAAGTGTATGAGTCTTCTCTGCTGAACACAAACTCCCTATAGGACAGGAATAAGGTCGTATTTATCTTTCTATTCTCAATGCCCAACACAGAGCTTGGCAATATATAGATGCTCACTTAATGTTTCATAAATCAAACATATCTTGGTTGTAAGACATGCAATCTTTAGGAAATATTAAAAAATGACTTTAATTTCAGATAGCTCGTAGAATATTTCAGTCTTCATAGACAAGTTTGATTTTATATTTACGTTAAACACGACTGCTTGCTTTACAGTCGTAGTCTTTAAACTTTTTTTGTACTGAGATACAACTGACATATAGCATTATATTAGCTTCGGATGTACAACATGATGCTTTGATATTTGCATATTTTGTGAAATGACCACCACAATGAGGCTAGTGAATATCTATGACCACGCAAAGTTACAAAGTTTTTTCTTGTGATGAGAACTTTTAAGATCCACTCTGTTAGCGACTTCAAATACACAATACAGTGTTATGAACTACAGTCACCATGCTGTACATTATATTCCATACAGTGATTTTTAAATTGTGTTTTCCACCAGTGGTGAGGTTAATTCTGAAGACAGGAGATAATTCTATATTGTACCAGAAAATGTTCAGAAACTAAACGAGCTGCAGTCTTAGAGCTTCAACTGCCTCCATTATATTAACTATACTAATTAGAACTTGGACATTATTTATTATCTATTATGAGAAAACAGCAGATATTTACTATATATTATGTCAAACCACTAAGGAGGACGTAAGTTGACCATGGATGGATGCTTCTGCCTAAGGAGCAAGGATTAAGTAACAATTTTGCTTCTTTCATTAGCCTCTCTTGATTGAAAAACAAAGGGGAGAAATACATTAGGCTACAGAACTTGCATAATTTATACCCGGTGTCACTTGTTCTAATCTTTCTTATACTTTGATGCATGTTACCTCTAAGCTATTCCCTTTAGGGTACTATCAGATTTGGAGGACAAGAGAGGGGACACGGAGACAGATCAACAGGACCGATGGGAAGAAACCTATTCTCTATTCACAAAGAGGTTTAGCAACTAAGAGTTTCTTTGATACCGCAGCTTGAAAAATACAAAACATTATTCATGAATCTTGATTTTCCGCTGAAATATGTAAAAAGGAAAGCCTTTCAATTAATGTATGCAGTGGGGAAAAACTAGAACACCACAATAAAAAAGAAGAGAATATCTTATTTATTACTGTTTATTGGACAAACCTACAATAAGTTCTCTTAGGCATTTAGCTGTAACTCATTATGTCCTGCCATGTTCAGAACGTGTGAGCAGGTAATTTACGTTTTTGTTTGCTCTTGGGTAACTTTCTTCCCGACATACATGCAAATTGGGGTCTACTCACCTCTCCCGGCCGGATCTTAATGTAAAAGTTGCTCCGTTTGTATGAAATCTTTAGAACCTTTGGCCAGGCAAACCTGTTGATGCGTAGTCGGTCACGATATATCAACAAGCCACTTGCACACACTCCTAACATGATTTCAACTCCCTCAGAATCCTGGAAAATGGCAGCAAGAAACGCTGGATGAGCATCTCACCTATTTCCACTTGTGGCGGGTACACGATTTAAGCCTCCAGGTCAGAACCTATAATTAGCTACCTGCAGCTCTCATCTAAATATGCAAAGTACTGTAGCACTGTAAAAAATATTCCCACTAAATAACAGCCTTTGAATGAAGATATTTATCACTATGGAGGTTTGTTAGTGTAAACTGTTCACCCACGTATCTTGGACTTACACAGCATGTCAACACTGCACACAGAGGTCACCCAGGTGAAGGTGTGTTAGTAACAGTAACGATCAGAGCCTCAGTTCTTATTACTGAGTGCCAGGCACGGCTCTGACCACTTTACGTACATTGTTCATCTTCACTAGGATAATTCTGAGATAGCTGCTATTATGATTCCCACTTTACAGGCAAGAAAACTGAGGCACAGAAAGGTTAAGTGTCCATCCCAGTTGAATATGGGCAGCCTGCTTCCAGGGGCAGGGCTTTTAGCTAATACGTACACTTATAGAGAGACCCCCATCATTTCCGATGAGTGTTTTGGGGTTTGTTCCTTTAAAAAGTCTTGATTCTCTGGCGGCTTCCCTGGTGGCGCAGTGGTTGAGGGTCCGCCTGCCGATGCAGGGGACACGCGTTCGTGTCCCGGTCCGGGAAGATCCCACATGCCGCGGAGCGGCTGGGCCCGTGAGCCATGGCTGCTGAGCCTGCGCGTCTGGAGCCTGTGCTCCACGACGGGAGAGGCCACAACAGTGAGAGGTCTGCGTTTCTTTTTTTTAACTTAATTTTTATTATTTATTTAATTATTGGTTGTGTTGGGTCTTCGTTGCTGTGTGTGGGCTTTCTCTAGTTTCAGTGAGTGGCGGCTACTCTTCGATGTGGTGTGCAGGTTTCTCATTGTGGTGGCTTCTCTTGTTGTGGAGCACGGGCTCTAGGCGCGCGGGTTTCAGTACTTGTGGCTGGCGGGCTCTAGAGCGCAGGCTCAGTAGTTATGGCACATGGGCTTAGTCGCTCCGTGGCATGTGGGATCTTCCCAGACCAGGGCTCAAACCCGTGCCCCATGCATTGGCAGGTGGATTCTTCACCACTGCGCCACCAGGGAAGCCCTTGATTCTCTTTTTGTATACCATTACTGGCAGAGTAAAATTTGAATATAAAATAGTCTTTTTAAAGTACAAGCGTACTCCCCAACAGGACCCCAACACACACTCACCGCCCAGTGGTGCTCACTTAACCACTTGGCTCACATACATAAATATAGATGCATTTAATATATGTATATAGATTTCTTTTCCAACAAAAGTGGGATCGTGCTATATTTGCAACTTTCTTTTGCTGCTCGCACAGTCCATCTTTGGGTCATCTCCTAGGGATGTGCAATGAGGGGTCCCAGAGGTCACCAGAGATGTTATATAAAGCTCAGGAGATACCCCACGAGCAGTCTATGCCCCCTCAATATTGTGTCCCAGTGAAATTAGGGTAAAGTGAACATCTGTGGTGGTCGTGAGTGGGGTGAGAACAAAGGACAGAAGGCGGTGCTGTGTGTGATGTGCGGTCCCCACCCCCCCGTGTCTCACTGGTTGTTGGAAGCAGGGTGTTGTGGAGGCGAAGCTGAGGTCTGAGACACAATCATCGGCGGGGCTGTCCCACTTTGAGTCACTGCAGCGCCAGCAAACGCGGGGAGGGAGACATGAAAGAATCCAAAAGGGGGCTTCTGACTCATCTGTACGGGAGTGGGAGGGACCGACTTCCTAAATCCCGCCAGTGCAAAGCACAAGACGAATATTTCCAGAATCAGAAATAAATATTTTGGTCCCTCTCTGGGAACTGTGAGGTTACACATACAATTTAACTGATTTAAAATGAAATATTTTTCCTTGGAAACGTATCACTCCACTAGACACGAAAATCACTCTATGGAAGTGGAAGGACTTGACGGCAGGATATTACAACATAATCAGACTTGAGGGGAATTCAAAGGCTCCGCCACCATTTATCAAGGGCTTTAACCTGAAAGAGCAATTTACAGAGCTATGACCTGATGCCGGAAGTAGGGCGGTGGGTGGGGGGCACGATGGACCCTGAGATCTAGCCGACCTGCTCCCAGGACCACACAGGCGACCCCCCAGGTCCTGAGCAGAAATGTCTGCACGAGCAGGGCTGCTGGGGTAACGGCTCCTTGAGTCACTTTCTTTGTGATGAAGAACGTAAGTGTAGCAAGCACTCTGGGCATTCACAACCTCTTCCATTATTACCTACTTTAAATCACTCCTTAGTATCTTTGAATCACAAGAAGGTGGAATCCGTTTGTGGGGAAGATGGGAGGCTCCTGCAATGCATCCTCCCTTGCCGTCTCCCACACACACTTCTCTGGGTCCCCACAGCATTAATATCGTCAGCACAGCCCGAAGCCCGAGCCAGCGGTGCTGCCACTAACCCCATTCCTATTCCTTCTCCAGACCCAGGCTGGTGGAGAGCAGCCTCTGTTTATCCTGCTGACCTGGCCACGTGGTCAGCACAGCGCCTGCCTAGCACGTGTTAAGCCACTACTTGTTTGCCGGAAGAAAAGGCAAACGAAGAAAGAAAATGGCAGGAATAAGTGGAGCTTAAAATTGATGATCGCTTCCATTTCACTCATGGCACAGCAACCAAAAAAAGGATACTTTTGATATCAAGGTTACTGCCGCAGCCCATAGCATTGAGGTAGTAGCTTGATAAATCTTCTGTATCAAAAGCTATGACCAGGGCTTCCCTGGTGGCGCAGTGGTTGAGAGTCTGCCTGCCGATGCAGGGGACACGGGTTCGTGCCCCGGTCTGGGAAGATCCCACATGCCGCGGAGCGGCTGGGCCCGTGAGCCATGGTCGCTGAGCCTGCGCGTCCAGAGCCAGTGCTCCGCAGTGGGAGAGGCCACAACAGTGAGAGGCCCGCGTACCGCAAAAAAAAAAAAAAAGCTATCATCGTGGTCTTTCTTGGGGACATGTGTTTCCCTATCAATAAACATATTTAATGCTCCCTTTAGCAGGGAGCATTGAAGGAAGCCCTGGACAGCCTCAGCCTATCCTAATTAAAATAAACGAAGGTACTATTCTCTTAACTTAAAATCGCTGTTCCAACTTTCCCATCCTTTATTATCTCCTGGTCCACGGGATACCCGATATGGATTTATAACTACATTTCAGAGTCTTATATGAAATAAATGACTCTGACAGAGCCTATTCAGAGTGACATTAAATGACAAACAAGCAGAGACCGTCTTCCTAAGACATTTAGAACAGGTTTTCCAAACCAAGGGACCTTCTTCACCTAACATGGATATTTATTCTTCATACAGAGCTGTGGAGTCCAAGATCACAGTTCCGAATTTCTAACTAGGTCCTAGAGCTCAGGGCCTTTCAATACTACCAACAGAAGAGAAGCATCTCACTTATTAACTGGAAATTAGCTCTAATTTAATTCAGTAAACTTCCTTCTTGAAATGATGGAGCGCGTCTGCATGAGAAAATGAAGTCCATAACCAAATCATTTGTTATGCTTAGTATTCACATGAAATCCTATCACAGGCTGCATTGGCACTTCCTTAATTCTCTCTCTTTTTTAATTGGTTTAATTGGCATAATTTCAAATCACATTATTGAATGACAAAGCAGCCATCTATTTTAATTCAGTCGCTGCAGCCATGTTAAGTGATTTCATTTTTCCTGATAGGAACACAGATACATGCTGAGTTGCCCTTCTCCTACATGGAGGCCCTCACCTTTTATTTATTTATTTATTTTCCCCTGGGCAGTAACTGAGTCGTCGTGTGTAATGTAACTCAAAAACAGCTTTCGAGTCACGCAAATTTCCAGGCTACCTTCATTTCTGTCTTGTTTCCTTATCTTTTAGCCACGTAGGGAAAAACTCTAAGAGAAACACAGTCTTAGTGCGTGTCCTTATTTTCTTTTTAAACCCTCATCCTACCTTATATCTGGCATAAACTATAAAATGCTATGTTATCCGAGCACAAAGTAAGTGAAAACATGTAATAATTAACTGGCAAGTAAACAGAGCTACACCTGCTGCTGTAATTACACACAAATGTCAACGAGCTTGGCTCTCCGGTGCCAGCATCCCTGGTGAGAGCCAATCCTCAGAGATTCTGCTCTTGTGGAGGCCTTCAGGCCTCAGAAGTGCTCACCCTGAGTGATGTACAAAATGATCCACAGACACAACCACAGACACAAAATGATCCACAGACACAATTCGACCTGCGTTCATGTGATCCTCACCATCGTCTTGTCCAAACTCACTTTCAATCTGTCAGGTCCCCAAATGCAGCAGCAACAGAACGTAGACATCACAGATTTTCCTCCTAGGGGTCCCCAGGGTTGTTGAGACGTTTGCCTAAACAAAGCTGGCTGAAACCCTCTTCATTTCTTGGCCCCAAACTTGACTGTGTAAGACACTCGCTCGGCTGGCAGCCTGTTAAGTGCATGTTCTTGTGAGCCCCGGACTGTGTGATCATGACCACTCTGTCCACCCGAAGTAAAGCCACATCCCCACCCAGGAGCGACATCCTCGTGTCAGCCCAAATCAGAAGCTGTCCCCGAACTTCAAGTACTGATCTTTTCAGTGCTGCTGAAGTACCAGAACCTATCCCTAAGAGCCTAACACACTTCCTATGTTTTGCTGATAGAAGTTTTTGGGAAACCTTGCCTCTGCTTCCATGGCACTTCTATTCACAGCTGTTCAGATAATAGACTAACAGTCCATACGCTCACTCTCTCACTGTTGAAAGATACAGAGATTCTGGAAGAAGTGTGACGTGGAGTTAAAGCTGCTGACACATCCTCCCAACCTTAATCCAGCCCAATCCTGACTTCTCTCTTCGCAAGACTCTGGAACCAAGATACAGCCTCAACAATTCACCCGTCGACTAGGCAATCTTTTCTTTTTTTTTTTTTGGACAGGCGGAGAGGATTTATTTGTAGCAGAATTATTTATTACAGAGAATGTCCTGAAAATAAACTGACCAAACACTACAATGAATGTGCTGTATGTAAGGATGGAGAATCCGTTTGATTACACGCAGTGACTGAGAAAGTTCAAAACAAAACAAACCCAAAACTATAGTGCTTGTCCAGTTCTCTCTGCTCTCTTATCTCTTCCCTCTTTTTCTTTCTTTAAAAGACAAGTTAGGCAAAAAAATAAATAAAATAAAATGGTGACAGTGACGAGATGGAGAGCAGGGCTATTCTGGAACTCAGAGCTTTTATCAGCTCAGAAGATGGATCAAAGCTGTCCCCAGGAGAAGTCACAGAACCACGGCGATAGGCTAGGCAATCTTAGCCTGGCTGGTTAATGTTAACTGAACTTCAAAATAACCAACTTATTTCAAAGCACTGATGATTTGTCACAGTATCTAAACTTTATAGAGAGCTTTTAAAATTGAACATGAATTTTCTGAGTGCCTGGTGGGCGTCACACACAGTACTTGGCATACAACGTTTGTGACAACTGGGTCCTGGACACTGTTAAATAAAATTAGATAGAAGGCCTGGAGTTTAAAATATGCGTACCTTGGCATGATGCAAATCCACCCCATACATGGAGAGCTTTTTGGCATTTTCCAAGAAATACATCTCTGCTTCTGCGGGCGTCATGCCTCTGATAAGGAAAAATGAGAGGTATTACAATGCTGGTTTTTTTTTTTTTTTTTTTTAACCTGGTGGAACCATAATATTTTCCACTTAGCTCCCTTGCAAGTTCCCACAGAGGCACCAAAAGATTTGTACTCTGGGGGAGGCGGGGGGAGAATACCAGGAAAATGGCTTTTAGCAGAAACATCACAAGGACGACCCGAGTAGGAGTCTGACTACCCAGAACTGTACCAGGCCTAGAACCTCACTCTGCTGAGTCCCACCCTTAAGGCACTGACTTCAGTCCCAGGAGAAGCAGGTGGTGCAGGGGATGCCCACCCACCGAGCACAGCTTAAACGGACGCTCTTGGGGTTCCTGCCGCTAACCTGTGGCTCTTGTGCAGCTCGATGACTTTGTCTTCTAGTTCTTTTGTGTGGTTTGGCGCGAAGCGGAACTCGTTGATGTAGTCACTGCCACACTCATCTGGGTCGTAGTCTCCCAGTTCTGACTGGACGGTGTACGAGCCCAACGTGGCAAGGGTGACAGAGGAGCAGGGCAGCCTGCCAGACACGATGTCATCGCGCAGCTGTAAGCAGAGGTAGTACCTTCCAGGAGCCAGAGGACGGGCAGAAAGCCAGCGTTAGGAGACTGGAAAGGAGACCGCCCAGCACAAAGTGGGCGGCAAGCAAGCTCTCCCTGCAGAATAATCCACTAGGACACCTTGTCTAGCATTTGTATCCGGATCTATATACCAGGGGAAGATACTTAGCTACAAAATACAATATCTAAGGGCATATAGAGGCAAGTTCATAATAATACAGGGATTCACTGATGAGACACAGAATAAAAGAAACCTACAGACTATCTCTCTAACATTAAGATAACATTGAAAGTCAAACAAAATCTCTGGTGGGGGAAGTTATAATATAAAAATGGTGCTCTTAAATATAACGATTAGGCCCCAACTACCTAAAGGAAGTCTCATTTTGCTATCTAGACGAAAGGTCCTGCCACACGCCCAAGACAAACTGCAGGTAACTCAACGGCTGTGCCGTCATGAACACTACCTGCCACTTCCTGCGTTCCTGACGAGAGGAGCTTTCTCCTGGGTCAAGGTCTCATTTTCTTCTTTAGATAACTTCCTAGAATTCAACCGTTACGAAGACTAACTTTGAAGAATTATTACCTTAAAATCTCATCACTAAAAGCAAACAATTCTAAACTGGGGGACTGTGAAACGTTTTCCATAAAATTTTGCCAACATCATATGCAAATATCTCCATTAATAGCTGACTTTTACCTTCCCTGTTATTCTGCTTCTAAGAGTGACAGATATACTAACAATAGAAGACTCCAAGGTAAGTGGGAACATTGGTGAATTTTATTAACAGTCTTCATGGCCCAGCATACGAGTATAAGAATAAAATATGCCTTGTACCTTTCACACAAGAAACGAACCATTAATCTGTTGAAGCTGAGGACTATATGATAAAGCGTTAAGGTCCCCTCTAAATACGGTTTTAAGCTGATGATGTAAGTAAATGCCATGTAATCCAGATACAAAAATTCCTACACATTTCATAGGCCCTACACACATGACACAAACGGAAAGGAATCATGCACTAGATTCCAACTCAAAGTGTATATACGCTCTCTAACCATAAATTAGCCACAATTAAATAGTCCCTCAACTAGTAAAAAGTATCTTTATATAAGAAATTACAAATTGTTTTTTGATTTAATGAAAATATAAAAGAAATCTTCTGGAACTAGTTTTTCCCCTTCTCCTAACATGTCTGCTGAAACGATTTTTCATCATAGCAAGTGACTAAAGCTTTTTGAGCGATTTCTCTTTCCTGAAAAGCCTGCCAAGAAGGGTTGTAAGGCCACACTGCACAGCATTACTCTGACTGGCTATAAACTGACTACGAAACACAGTGAAAAAACCAAGGATTCCAAAGTAGAAAGCATTAGAAGAGGCCTAGAGGGACACACAGCAAACCCAGAGTGGCTTCCCAAAGAGATTCTTCCTTATACTCAAAGCTCAGTCACCAGGCCAGACTGTTAGATTCCCTTCTTGATGCCTTTTCTCTAAAACGAATGAAACGTCTTCCTTGTATACAGAAGGTGTGGAAGGTACACTCTTAGGCGTGCACGTGTTTATGTGCATTTGTGTGTGTGTGTGCACGCCTGTGTGATTTTTGAAAACAGCCACCACGTGTCAGACTGGTTATACAAAAAGGCATAAGCATCCGAAGACACACTTTTGCTCTAAGTTTTGAAGGAGGAGCACTAGGAACTGTCGTATCATTTAAGGCTGAATCCCGTCGAATTTGACTGTGGTGGGTAGACGACAGCAACTCAATTCTGTGTGTTTTCCCACCAGGGTCAGGCAGAGGGAAGTACCAGCTTAGCACCAAAGATTCAACTGGGAACAGATACGATCTGGCAAATCTTCTCATCGGATGTTTGCTCTCATTCAGTTGCCTTCTGTTTGCCATTTCGGCATGGATGACTGTAAGGTCACCAGATGTAAGCCTGCCCTCCGCCCGAGAATTTAACAGGAGCACGACTCCCAACATGCCTGCCTCCTTTTTCACTGCCAACTTTCAAATACCTGGTGATATCTTCAGAGAGCTGGGAAGGGTCTGGTGGGTAAAATTTCACATTAAATGAAAAGTGCCAAGCACCACCTGCGGAGAGAAGAAAAAAATCAGAATAAAGTCTCAGACGATCCCTTTGTACTTATTATACTAAGCGGTGGCTAGAACGGCCCTAACCCCAGTCACTAGCACCCAGGCAACTTTTAATCATCAATGGAAAACAGGGAAGTCTCCTTTCAGTGAAATTCACAGGTAACTCTGAAACTTCCTCCAGTTTCTAATCTTCTGCCCCATGAAATCCTTTGCTGGGGTTTATAACTAGCAAGGAAATTGACTAAACTTCCTCCCTTTCTCAGGGACAAAGGCCTTGGGAAGAGGGGAAAAAAGTAAACGAGACAGATAAGCCTCAATCAGACGAGTCTAGGGCTCACCGGACCTATTCTCTGAAGTTCTGGAGAGCTCACATACCAACATTACAGACAGAATCCCATTTCCTTTGTCCTTTCTGCTTTGTTATGACAGGTCAGATCCCATAATAATACATGTCAAGGATGTATTTATTTTATGGGAAAGGTTTGCTGTCATATTAAGAGATGAGCTGCTCTGTGGGCCATTCGGAAAGTTCTTTTCTTACTTGGGGAAATTTCTGATGGAAGAGACAGTGGGGGTATGTACTGTGCATTACCAAACCCAGCCCTCCACCTCAGCCCCTGATCAGGACGGTCCTCACTGCACGCGGCCGCTGCTCCTCCTGTGGCATCTCCTATGGCCTCTCCAGAGGGGAAGGGGGTCACCCAGACGCCAGCTCACAGGCACCTGCTCCCCAGACCGTCCGTATGTAAACGTGAGACATTACAAGCCTTCCTGAGTGCTCCGTTTTATCCATGCATTCTCTAGTTGTGTATACCTAACCATGTTTATCACCGTAAATGAGAATAAAACCCACCTTTTCTTCTTTTCGACATTTACTCTCTCTGTGATCACCCCTGTCACTTATTTTCACCTTGGTCTCTCTGTCTGGCCTTTCAATAAATGCGGTCCATTACTGAAGCCTGGGGGCTCCTTCGCCGGGAACTGTTTCCATTTCTTACCCCCACCCAGTAAGCACACTCCAAGGGCCCAGGCCCTGCTCGCTCTGAACAGCGGCTTGGAGGACCCTCCTGGTCTCCCAGCTTCGGTGCTGGAGGCCTTTCCTCCGAGCCGTGGTCTTCCTTTTGCTCTGTGATTCGTGACCTCGTGGTCCAGCCCTCATGCTTCAGATGCCCTCCTAAGACTTCCAAACACCCCCTTCTCCCATTCAGTGACTCCTGGAAGCTCCATTCTCTCCCGAGTCCTTCCCGAACATTCACAAGACAGGGACAACACCCTAAGTACCTCCCGGCTCCTTCCTTTGAACTGGTCTCTTGCTTGAGTAGCAGATACTTAGCTGCAGAGGTCACCTGTATTCCTGTCATCCATGGCACAGTCTGTTCGCTAATTCTGGTTTACTCTGCACACCACTACTCATGTTACACTGAGAGGTCCACCTGGCAGGGACACCATTTGAGCTGCCTTATAAAGGACTTGGTATAGGGACCGGGTATTACTGGGTGTTTCGTGTCATTTCTAAACCACTAAGAAAATATTCCCCAAACGTGGGCTGTAAGAATTACGAGCCATAAAATATCTGGCAATCAAACCTATTTCTAGCGATTATTCTTCCCACTGTTCTCAAAAACGTCCTCTTGTTGTTCCAAAATTAACAAGTCTGATTTGGTTTTACTTTCCTATTGATTCCTATTCACCTCCTGCTAAAATGGAATGCTTGCCAGCCATGAGGTTCATAATGAGAGCTGGTCTCCCCGCAAGCAACTGGAATGAAAGCTAATGGATTCGTTATGGGAAATGGATTTATTGCTCTTTTATAATTTTTATCCACTTCAAAGTGAATCCAATGAATCGTTTAGCAATGCAATTAAACTCATAATAAATTCAGGGTAAACACTCAAAGTTGGAAACTAAGAGGGAATAAAAATAGAAGAAAGATATTTCAATGCAAAAATCCTCATTACAGTAAAGTGACTTTCAAATGATCGTGGGCCTAAGAAGCATCGGAGGGGCTTGTTAAAAACGCCAGTCCCTAGGCTCTACTCAGAGGTTTTTATTCCAGAGATGTGCATTATGGTCCAGGAACTTGTGATTTTAATAAACACCCTAATGGTTCTAATACACTTGACCGTACTTTGAAAATCACTAATCCCAGGGAATCTACTTTCCTAAGCTTATAACCCAATCAAATATGAGGTTTTGCAGGACATTATTTTGAAACAGTGGGAAAGTTTATGGAAAACGCAATCTACACCACAATCAAGGAAAAAAAAAATCCAGTGAAATGAGGTGTAACATTTGAAATTAATGAGAGAGGCAGATTAAAGCGGAAATACATATCCTCGTAAAGAATCTGGTGGAAACGTATCACTGGGAGGCTATAGTTATGCCATAAATAGGTTTGCGAGCCTGTGTCTGATCAGATGACGGCTCTGGTTAGGGACGGAAATGCGAGAGCTTGAATGCATTAAAATGACATCTATAATGCTGATATAGGATTTTAAATTCCAAATTTATGATAATCAGAAAACTGTGACACTGAAGAGAATTCATTCTTATGAAAAAGTTCTAATTTTAGTCTTCTATGTCTGCCAAATCTTAAAATTTCTAAATATACTACAGTTATAGCATAAATCACTATATATCATATATTCTATATCATGAAGTTACTATATCATAAATATACTCTATATCAGAATATATTTAGAAATTTTAGATCTGCTAGGTGTAAAAGATGACTGGAATAAGAATTTTTTCATAAGAACAAACTCTTCAGGCTCAGGATTTTCTATTTCTCATAAATTCATAACTTAAAATCTTTTTCAGCTTGACTGCCATTTGCCATTCTCTTGAAGATCTCATTCTAGAGACCTACTGTGGACCTACAGCATAAAAATAATGGAAAGATCCTTTTATTGTTGATATTTATGTTCAGAAAGAGGAGGTGATTGTACAATAATTACACTAGCTCTGATAATACTTTTCTGCCTTGATAGAATGTCCCTTTTGTGGAAAGAAGGCATTTTGTGCATGGGAAACAATAAGGAATATAGATAAAAACACCAAATTCCATTCCTAAAACTTTCCAATTTTTTCTTGTCTCCTCCTTTATCTGCATGATTGTCACTTGGTTTTCTTTATGTTGCTGTCACAAACACTGCCTAAACTACATGAGGAAAATATCCTTTAAATCTCATGTTCCAGTTGTCCCCTAAACTTCATCTCTTAGAAAGGAAGGCCGGAGACAGCATAAATGGGAAATGAAGGAAAAAAAGAGTTCCATTAACAGCAGAAAAGAAAATTAACTGTTGTTACAGCCTTTCTTGTAACAGTATAATGACTTATTCTTGAACATGTAATATATTTTCAAAGTGCTCTGTAATTATAAAATCAACCAAGTACGAAAAAGCGTTTTATTAATTAGGTGAATACAGGGGACTTAAAGCACATGAAATGTTAAGATATTCAGCACATCTGCTTTTAATAACTCCATAAAAAGATCCTTAGAACATATTCATCATCTTAAAGTTTTTACTAGGACTCTGAAGTTTTCACCTTCTTATCACAACTGTAGCTGTCCCTGGTTTTAATCCCAATTTAGTTCTATCAAACTACTTCACTATCAAGTTTCTGATTAGTGACCACACCAAATTCCTCTCAAAAATATGGTAAAGATGTTTTCGTTGTACAAAGAATCATCAGACTCTCTAATATCTAGAAGCATAGTGAATTTTTTGCTTCTTTTGAGATATTATCTAGTATTAAGCCATTTCAAACTGCTCGCTACTAATTACTTTTTATTAGCATGTAGGGTATTTTGAGACCTCAGAGCATTCAAAGGCACTAGAAAGATTTGCTCTCTCTTTTAATAGTAACTTTGATGGGAATGCTGTTCTTATTAATAAATTGGTCTTAAGTTTAATCTTCAAATAGAATCAGTTGTTCTGGAAAATTAAACTAGGTTTTATTGATAAAAAATGAATTGCTTGAAAAAAATTAACTAGTTAGTTGAAATTATAAAGTATATCCATGTTTTACCATTTATCCATAGTAAAAAGCAACAGCTACAGAAAAGGCTTAAAAATAAAAATGAAAAAATTCCTCTTTCTCAACCCCCTACCCTGCAGTGCCACTTCTGGAGGTACAGGTATTTCCACATACCTATATATGCATAACTCATTTTAAACAAATATGAATTATTTCTCTAAGGTCTCACTAATGAGAGCTAAAACATATTTATTCTACCTCATTCTGTTTAACAGCTACCTAGTATTTCAAGGTATGGCTATTTCATGATCGATTTTATCATTTCTTTATAAATGGATATTTAAGTTGCTCTGAGTCTTCTTCTATTGCCAATGGTATGATAATGAACTTTCCTACATGGACACATATGTACACACTCCTCTCTTAAGCAGACACTGGATATATTTCTACAAGTAAAATCAGGGGTCAAAGAATAAGCACATTTTAAATTTTAATAAAATCTGACACAAAGTGCCTTCTTAAAGGGTTATATTTCTACCAATTGTGTACAAAATTGCCAATGTAGGGCATCGTTAAACTTTTAAAATCTTTGCTAATCTGAATAGGTGAAAAATGTCACATTTTAATTTGCATTTAATTATTACTAACACTTAGCACCTTTTCTAACACTTATTAGCTACCTGTATTTAAATTTTCTGAGTGGCTCATGTAATTGATTCGTGCGCTAGGAAATGTCCATTTCTTAAATTGCCTTTAGGGCTAAGAAAAGAAGATGTCATCAGACAGTAAACTGCAGTCTTACTGGTTACCCCATTTCTAAGCTATTAAATGACTATTACTTTTACTGCTTGCCTTGCATACTTTGGTGGCAGTTAGGCTTAATACAACATTAATAATTAAGTCTGAAACTTTTAGATGATTGTCAACGGGGGCATCACTTGATTAAATCATATCTCACATCTCTGAACAGGCAAGGAAATAGGTCAAGTGTCATGTCATTTTATTCCCGGGTCGCAGTAATTGCTAATGGGTATCTGAGCGAGACCAACCTGCCAAAGATAAAATTTGAGATCTTAATCTGTTTTTCAAAATACCGTATTCACACCAGCCATGTGGGTATGAGCTACCATTTCAGATAACCCCACTCTTTGAAAATCTTCCTATTTCTACACATAATAATCCAAAAGAACTTACTTCGAATCTGTTTTTTAATTTCCTTAGCAGGGTCCAACCAATTCTGAAAAAGAAGTGAGAGTCTGAATATGAATCAGAGAAGAATGGAGATGACTTAGTGTTGACTGGGTAGAGATGAACTAAACGTATTTGAGAAGGAGCGGCTGCCGGAAGGGTCCCCCAGCTGGGTCCTTCCCCTACATCTGGTGCCCCTTCGCTAGTCCTGCGAGGGCCCAGGCTCTGGTCTAATGAGAAGATGTGTGTGCACACAACTCAGGCTTGACAAAGTTCTTTTCTTTTACAACAAGTGCCTTCAGGGATTCAAGCTAGCACAGAAACAGAGGAGAAAAAATGGTGGATTCTATGTTCAAACAAGTTACAAGCATGAGCTAAAGATACAGTCATCCTTTGGTAACCACAGGGGATTGGTTCCAGAACCCCAGGTAACACCAAAATCTGAGGATGCTCAAGTCCCTTATATAAAATGGCACGGTACTTGTATATAATCTATGCAACGCCCCCATATACTTGAAATCATTTCTAGATTATTTATAATACCTAATTCAATGGACATGCTATGTAAATACTTGCTGGTGCACTGGCAAATTCAAATTTTGCTTTTTGGAACTTTCTGGAATTAAAAAAAATATTTTTGATCTGCTGTTGGTTGAACCTGCAGATGCAGAACCCAAGAACACAGAGAGCTGACTCTGCATGTAACTTGACCACTGATGTCCTGGCCGTTCAGTCCCATGCAGCGACTTCTGTGATTATAGATTTTAAGGCACCTTCTCAGAATGCTTTCCTAACAAACGAACACTTGCCACTTATGACTTTCCTCATTAGAACACTCAGGTGTTTAATAATGAAGTTAGACATCATCCATGGAATTCAGTAAAGATAAAGTATGATTCACTAACAAATGACAACGGAACAAGCGACATTTAATGAGCACAATTGCTGTGGCTCAGTTGCCAGCATTAAGGAAACAATTTCTTCCTCCTTATCTTTCAGGCAGTTGGGGGGATAAGTGAGATAAAGGCCTGAAGAGACTGCAGCAGGTATAAGAGTCTACAGAGGTTTTACATGTATCATTAAACGTGGACTGAATACATTAACTGCTTGCCTCGTACATCAGGTCTGTACATGATTCATCTCACATTGTGATTCAGCAAGAATATGAAAGTGTAATAAGATGAATTAATAAGATGGCATCCAGTGAACATGTTTTCCGTATAATTATCAATTTATGTGATTCCCATTGGCTCCAATCCATGGAAATGTATCATCCCCCCAAAGCACCATATAAAATGCTTTTCTGGAACCATAAAGAACTCAAGCATGAAAAGCAGAAACACTGACTGACTGACTGTTTCCAAAAGACTCAAGATTAAAGGAACTTGTCAATAATTTCCTTCATGAAGAAATAAGGTGATTAACAGCATTTAGGGCCTTGGATAATAAATCTGAGGGCGTGGGAGTACGAGGGGAGGTGGAGAAAACGATTTACCAATTCAGTTTCAGTTCACTTTCTTGCAGTGAAGCGCAGTTGAAGCCGCAATACTTTGTACTGCTTTCAACCACTCACCTTCTGGCTTTCAGCATCTCGATATGTAAGCCCAAAATAGTCTTTTTCTAGCAAATTCAGATGTTCACATACTTTATCAAACAGCACTTGGCCTCTGGAGCGTTTCTGTGGAGAACAAAACAGAAAAACAAGTCAACACACACCAAAAATGTTCTCTCAATTGCCACAAACAAAAATGGGTAAAACGTAAAATATTGCTCATCGTAACTGTTCAGTAAACAACAAGCAGGTTTGATCACTTTACCAACTCCTTTTTAACTAGAAAAAAGGCTCAATAAAGTGGACCTAATCCTATAAGAGGCAGCTCCTACAGAACAAACAAATAAATAAAAAAATAACTCCTGTCAGTGAGTAAGTACAGGCGACCTGCGGATGATTTCGAAACGGAAGTAGTTGGGGAAATGAAGTGGTGCTCGAAGCCTCAAATATGTTGTGAAACACGAAAATCCTGACGGTGAGAGCATTAAAGGGCCGACCACAGCGGTGTTTCAGAATACCCACGCTCACTCCCCCCCGTGATCAGGTTCTGAGCCTGAGAAGAACTAACCCCATTCCTTGTCTCAGGCCGAAGTCCCCTGCAAACTTTCTACCCCAGTCCTTACTGAGAAACTCTAGCTGTGGATCACTTTCTGGAGCCCGTTAAACTTCATTAGTTTTTGTTTACAGCCACAAATTTCAATTTTGTATCACAGAGTTCAACTTTCTCTGAATTTTTTTTTAGAGAAAATCCTTCCTATTAAACATAACAAACATGTTCATTAAGTTTAAAGATTTAAATGATCATTTATAAATGTAAGATGTAGACATATGTGCTGTATTTTTGGCCATAAAGCAGTCGATTGGAGAAAGAAAAAAGGCAGTCATCTGGGGAAAAAAATCCATCAGCTTAATTTATGGTGATATACAGTATCATATTTTCATCAAAGGTCTTTTAAACTTGGCCTTGGAGTCTGAGATGGATTAACTGGAAGCAATTAAGCTAAAGTACATTTTGTTTGTGCAGTACCAACATTTCACATCTCGTACCTTAAGTGTATTTGTCTTTAAGATTTAATGTAGTAAGAGAAAAATAAGAAAATTGATAAACAATGGGCATACCAAAGAGTACATATCCAGAAGACGTGTAAGTGGTATGTATTACTGTGCAACCGCAAATATACTGGAAATTACTTAGTCCCCTCAAGCATGACTATTCAGGAGAAAAGATAAATGTAGGATACAAAACTGAAGCCTGAATTGTAACCAGCTGAATAATCAATGTTGTATTTGAAAGAAGTTTAATAATGTATGAAAATAAATTACATGTTAGCTAAACTGTGTAACATTGTTCAATGGATATAAATAAATGGTATGACAATGAAATGCTGCTCGCTGGTTTAAATCCTTTATTTGTAAATAACAGCATATTGCTTCTGAATAACGCTTAACAAATTATAAAGTTTGCACCAAAAAAAACTGGTTCTTCTGATGCTTCCATTGGTATGATGTCCAGTTTAGAGATAAGAACACAGAGGTCCAGAGGAGTTACATGGGAGAGGCAGTCTTAGTGCTGCCTATGACGGTGGCTTTAACAGGTAAACCTGGCTTTGAGTCTTCCTTATGTCCCTTGCAGCTGTGCGGACCTCGAAGCTTTCCCTCTGTAAAACAGGTATGAAACCATCTACTTCTTTGTAATGGTTGACATTAAAATGAAACAAAGTGTTCCAACTTGGTCCAGTGATAACACGTCAAGCATCCCACAAACGTCAGCCATTGGTATTATCAGCCTACGTGATTGATAAATGGCAGAATACGTAGTACAGAACTCACCAGGCATTTTTGTGGTAGGAGCACATATATAGCTCCTTGTGGTACCAATAAGCATCCTTAGTATTAATATGCCCTGCTCTTTCTTCAGATATCAATTATCTGCTTACTGTCTAACTGCTTTAACTACAACACAACACACACACACACACAAATACATACCAGCGTCTGGCCAAGTACTTTCTCAATGAGTAAAAACAAACCAAAACAAAACAAATACAATAAACCTTCCTCTACAAAGCCTTCTACATCCTCTGAGCCAGCAGCAGACCCCAGCCAGGCCCTCAGTGGAGGAATTATTCTGGTCACGCTGCCGGCGGCCTTGGGCATTGTTTTATTAGCTGTCTTCTGGCTGCTGTCTTCTTCCTTTTGTCTAACAGGTGGAATGATTAGCTCAAGCACAGACCACTGTACTAACTGGTTCTTAATTTTCTGGCTTCTCACCATTTGATTACTATTAATGAACCACAGCTCTCTCTTGAACAGACCAGATTTTTTCTTACTATTTTAAACATATTTGAACACTATAAACAGTCCTTAAGACAATAACATAGTGGTCCATTCTTCTCTCTGAAGGGTTTTTGGGTTTGTTTCTGTTTGTTTGTTTTGGCCCTAAGAACTAAGACGGGTTGTCTAGAATCCGCTATAGATGGTTATATGTAAACAATGAAATTCCTATCTGCCAAACATCACCATGGCCGCCGGCCAGCTGGATGACACTGGAAAGGTCTCTCACGTTATGTGGGCCTTCACCTTCTCATCCTTGAGTGAGGATATATGACTCCATGGAGCCAGGTGATCACGGGCTTGAGGCTGTAACTGGGCACCTGTGCTCATGGCCAACATCACTAACGATCACAGCTCACTCCCCCGTGCAGCCCAAATGCGGCTTCAGAGCCCCACCGCACACGTGATGACAAAGACCCTGGCGATGGATGGAGTGGGTACAGGACACCAAATGGGACTATTCTGCAGCCCCAGACAGGATCCCCTCCGCAATCACTCCCAACTCCCCCAGATTCTTGATTCTTCTTACTCAGGTCATTTTTTTCTAGTGCATTATCTAACTTCTCAAGTCAACTATTTCTACATGTTGACACTGTGTGCATCTTTAGGTAGTAACATCTAAAATATGACTGAAGCTCAACCGTCACTGGGCCTTTTAGAGAATTTATGTTAAATATTCGGTTCCCAAAGATAGGATGTTCATTAAGTCATCAAATCTGGGCATCTTACTTTCATTGGGTATGTTTATAACAGCTATAATGAGTCAAGAATTCAGTAGAAGATAGTGGGAAGCAGTTGCATAGCACAGGGAGATCAGCTGGGTGCTTTGTGACCGCCTGGAGGGGTGGGATAGGGAGGGTGGGAGGGAGGGAGACGCAAGCGGGAAGAGATATGGGGACATATGTATATGTATAACTGATTCACTTTGTCATAAAGCAGAAACTAACATACCACTGGTAAAGCAATTATACTCCGATAAAGATGTTAAAAAAAAAACAGAATTCAGTAGATTAAAAAACAGTTTTTGGACAGAGGTATTCTAAAATCAATGGGTAATTTACTTAACTGGAGACGATGAACAGCTTTTAGTCTCATTTGCTGTTTCCTGTGAGTTGTTAAGTCACGTCTCTGACTCAGATGCATTCGCAGTCTACATAACCATTGACTTTTAACACCTGGACGTTAAGGAAAGTGGACTTTGCTTTCCTGGAGTAACAAACCAATGGTGGACTACCCTCTCTCTACCCTCTTTTTCCACTTAAAATTGGGTTTCTCTTTCAAATAGAGAAGACGAGGATACGTCCATCATCACCACTCAAACACAGCAGATGAAATAAGCTTTTCTGCAGCATTAATGAAACTTCCTGCAAGTCCAAGATAATTCAAGATTTTTACAATGTTGGTAAAACACTGGTTTTCAAGGTCTTATCAACCGGCATCACCTGAAAGTTTACATTAAATTTTTTATTTGTACTTTTATTTGTCTAACAACTTAAAAAAACTAATTTCAGAATGTTTTAGGATGGGAGAATTTCCAACATTTCCCAAAGTAGAACAGCATCACGAAAGCCTGCATACTCATCACCCAGTTTTAACAAATGCCTCTGAAGACAATTTTGGTTCCTCTGGAGTTCTGCTCCACTCATCCTCCCCCTGGGTACTCTGAAGCATCTCAGCAAATAATTGTGTCTCTATTTATCTTAGTATGTAACTCTGCTCTTTTAAGAAATGTAATCTCAATAACTTCATCACATCTAAACAAAAGTAGCAATCAGTTCATAATATCACCAAATATCTAGTCAGGACTTTAATTTCCCCAATCATTTCAAAGATTTTTTTTTCTTTTTCATTTTCTTTGATTAGCCCATACACCGCAATCGGCTGACATATCTCTCTGGTCTCTCTTAATCTGCAAGTTCTCCATTTATGTTGGTTTTCCCCTTGAAATTAACTTGTCTAGGAGACCAGGTCATTTGCCTGTAGAGTTCGCTCAGTCTTGACTTGCTGTTTGCATCTCCATGGTGTAATTTAACATGTTCTTTTGTCTTCTGTATTTCCTGTAAACTGACAGTGAATCTAGAAGCTTGACCACATTCTTGTTCGACTGGTTTCCATAAATGACGCTGTGCAATTTCACCACGAGGCATAAAGTTAACTCTTGCCTTTTTGTGATATTAGCAGTCACTAACGATCGTTGCCCTAGACCCATTAATCTGAGGTGGCAAGATGGGGATATTCGAATCCGAACCTTGGTCCCCCATTTATTAGTTGGAGTATGTCTATGAAGAGACACTTCTCTTTGTCAGAATTATTTATCCAGTGACATAGTCTGATGACGGAAGCCAGGATCAATGCTCACACCTTTTCCTTTACCCAATTTCAAGATAACGAGTTGGCTTTCTAGCACCATCCAGGAGTCACCAATCAGGATTTTTGTCTTATATCATCGCTATGAACCCACGGGCTAAATCAGGCTTGACGTGTTTCAGTCCATTACAGGTGTTACCCATATTGATGCTCTAAATGTCCCCAAGTGCTCTGCCTTACATTTTGCCTGTCAACTCTCATCCTTCACAATGCTTCTCCAGTCCCACTTCTTTACAGCATTTCCTGTCCTCCCAGCCAATTGTGACTTCTCTCACCCTTGGACATTAGAGCACTTTATGGTACCAAGAGGGCACCTTCTATATTCTGCCTTCTGTCACAGCTGTCTCTCTGTGCGCTCGCCTTATATCCCGACTGACTATAAAGACACTCCTGGTGGCAACGTGCCTCCTATATTTATTTTTTAT